TAACAGCTACTTAAACCTATGAGATGACATGCTGAGACTTTCAGAAGGCATTCACAAAGCTCAAAAGGTAATTGAGACCTTCTTTTCAGTTTAACAGTGCAATCACAGCTGTTAGTGGATGACGAAACAGCCCCTTATCTACAGCATTCCGTTGTGATTTTTACTGCTGCAGCGTATCAGCCTGATCAGACCACAGTCTACACATAAATAGGACTCTAGCTTTTAGTTTTCACTTTTTTTTTCTTTTTTTTTTTTAAGGTAAGACTAATAGTTTTTTTGGCCTGTATAAAGAGTGTAATTTTTTAAAAAGTAAATCCAACATAGGGATACAATGTAAAACACCTACCCACTTTGTCCTTTTTTTTAGAATATCACTCAGCACTTTTGTACAAAAAGGAGTCTTAAGTAATAAAGAATGTACTTCTGTTTGCACTTGTGCAGTATGGAGACTGTGCTGTAAATACAGGATTGTTTCTGTGATTGAATTCTGTTACATGAATGCTGCATGTGGAAAAACTGTATTTGGCATTTCATTTTCTGTTCTGTTGATGAAGTATTCTTCCTTTATGGTGATGGTAGGTTTCCGTGTTTCCAGTGTTCAGTTTGGGAAATGCAGGTGTTGTGCAGGTGTAGTTCAGGGAGTGAAGAGCTTGTAACACTTTGTGTGTACATGTGATATTTAATTTCTTCCTTTATGGAAATTCAGGGAGTCTGTAAGTTGATAATTGGTTCACTTTGGCCTTTCTAGACACGTGGGAGACGGGAGTGACTGTAAAATGTATTGTGTTGGTAGTTACTGTTATATGAGCCAATGAATGAAACCAAAAGAATTAAGAATGCTGTTTGTTGTACAGTACAAAGCTGCTTTGTTTCACTTATCTCTTTATGTTCTTCAGAGAAGCTGCAGAACTTAAAAGCTCCTTATGCAAACTGGCCCTGTCACTAAGCACTGTCTTAATGGTTATAATTGGTACCTGGTTTAAATGTATTTCAGCTGTTGCTTGGGGTTCTCTTTCCTATTACATCATCTTGAAAAAAATATAGTTTTTGGTAGTGAGTCACTTTAAGATAAATTAAATTCATGGTAATTTCAAAAGGTAGAAATAGCCTGTTGTCCAAAATCAGAGTAGGGCTAATTTGTCTGTTGTTCCAATGATCATATATTCTGTACTGTACGTAATGAACCAGTTTCAATAAATGTAAGAACACACTGTGCAATCTATATTTAAGCAATAAAATAAACCAAAATTTAAAAATTAATCCTTTCTGAGGTGTCTGTTAATTTTTATTGCTCACAATTTATATGTCAGTTACTAATTTTTGAGCATTTAAAATAGCCCTCAGTTTACACACCTTTTTTTTTTTTTTCTCTTGCAGATATTACAGCATTGTATTGTTATTAAACTACTGCATCTATTTATTATTAAACCTGGACAGGCTTTAGAGGTAGGGCTGTGAGAACCTCATGAGGTTCAACAAGGCCAAGTGCAAGGTCCTGCACTTGGGGTCAGGGCATTCCCAAGCACAAACACAGGCCAGGAGAAAAATGGATTGAGAGCAGCCCTGAGGAGGATTTGGGGGTGTTGGTGGGTGAGAAGCTCAACATGTCCCAGCCATGTGCTTTGGCGGCCCAGAAACCAAACATGTCCTGGGCTGCACCCAGTGCCCCATGGGCAGCAGGGCAAGGGAAGGGATTGTCCCTCTCTATGCTGCCCTTGTTAGACCCCACCTGAGGTCCTGCATCCAGCTCTGAGCCCCCAAAACAAAAAAGATGTTGACTTGTCCAGAGGAGGCCACAAAGTTGATCAGGGGCTGGAGTATCTCTGCTGTGGAGACAAACTGAGTTGGGGCTGTTCATCCTGGAGGAACATGATTTCCCCTGGCTCTAGGGAGACCTTATAGCAGTTTGTAGTACCTAAAGGAGATTCAGGAGAGCTGAAGAGGGACTTTGGGCAAGGGCATGAAGTGATAAGACAAGGAGGAGTGGCTTCAAAGTGAAAGAGTTGGTTTAGATTAGATATTAGGAAGAAGTTCTTTCCTATGCAGGTGGTGAGGCACTGGAACAGGCTGCCCACAGAAGCTGTGGATGCACTATCCCTGAAGTGTTCATGGCCAGGTTGGAAGGGCCTTTGACCAACAGACAGACAAAGAACCGAATGCTTAAAAAGTTAATAATGAAGTAGGAAATATTTGTAGATGAGTAGTTAATTAATTAGTTGTTTGATTTTGAGAAACAGCTAGGTTTTGGCCAGTTGTGCCCCAAATCTATGAAAAATATGGTGTAAAGTGACTGTGATAATGAGAGAAGAAAGAAGAAAGTTATGCTAAATGTTTCTTTTTATCTGCTTGTCTTTTTTTATTATTAGCACTGATCTCTGATTAATTACAAATAAATGTAGCTAATCATGGCTAGGTTATTTAAGACTTCACTTGGTCAACACAATTCATGTGGTTGTAATTAGGGCACAACTTGGGTGTTATACTCTTCCTGAAATAAGAGATACGAGGGTAAAAAGCTCAGAGGAGTTAATGACAACATTGCCTGAACAATAGTGTATTTATTTCATTATTTCTTTTACCTGATTGATTAAATGATCTGTCCCTTTCTCTGCAGTCAGAAAATTCAGCATCACTGAGTGAATGTAGTAATTATTAGCAGAGAGGAATGGGAGTTTATTTTAAGGTGCAGTGTTCAAAACAGCAGCACCACTCTTGTCAAAGAGATGAACTGTATTGTTACTCTGCAGTGCAATTCATTTACCTGTTTACCAGCCAGTTTTCCACATTTCACCTCATTATTTGTCTCACTTTCTCATTGCAGTATTTATTTATAAATTCTGCGTGAAATGTAAAAAAATTTTTCATCCCTATAATAAAAGTTGATAAAAGTTGCTGTGTAATGTATCATCCTCAGCATAGGACAAAAATGGGCATTTTGCAGTTTTAGCATTTTGCTGACCTCTCTGCCTTCTCTTAAAGAAAGTGGTTTTGTTCTGTTGTTTTTTTCACTAGTGCTGATGGTGTAGCCTCTGGGATCCAGAGGAATTTTTGAGGTTTATTTTGGGAGTTTGTTTAAACAAGTCTTTTACTTGTTTATTTGCACTTTGTGGGGGGTGGGGAGGGTGTGTGGGATGGTAGTGTGTGATTTTGTTTGTTTGTTTAGGGTTTTGTTTGTTTGGGGGGTTTTTGCACTGTAGTAATCCTTTGCACTTTTAATGTAGGAAAAATACTGAAGGGGGTATATCACCAGCCAGAATTTTATATAAAATATAAGCTGCTCATCTAAGAACATTCACAGGAATTTTCACCTGCTGTTCTCACACTGTTCAGTTCACACAGGATCAGATGCTGGGGTTTAGTGAACTGCTGCAGGATCTGGAAGAGTACAGGCAACATCTCTGCATCCAGCATGAGGATACAGTCATTGGTTTGTAGGAACACTTTGGTGAAAGTTCAGCCCCGTAGATGTAGATCTCCAAGATAATGGAGAAGAAATCCAGATCTTTCAGAACAGCTGAACCACTGGGAAGTTTGTAGCAACATTTTTTTTGTTCTAGGAAGTGTTGCTGAGTTACAGAATCATAGAATGTGTTGAGTTGGAAGGGATCTTTAGAAGTTTGTCATGGCCTGATATTACACCTCTCTCCCTTCCAGTTTGTTTTAAAGCCTGTCAATCAGCCCTGACAGCCCATGAGCAAAGACACTCTTGTCCAGGTGAGAAATGTGAATCCCATCTGACACAAACATGTCTGGGGTTGTGCTAATCATCTCATTACCAAAAAAACCCAAATTCTGGCTGTCACCCCAGCCATGGAGCCAGCTATTGATAGACTGGGTCTGACCCTGCAGGGATGGGGGTTAAAATGACCTGTGCTCCACATTTCCTGATCAGCCATTCCAAGGTGCTGAAGTCTCTTTTGATCACCCTTGGACTGAACATTGTGATTTCATCACCCCCAACATGGAAGAGCAATAAAAGTTGTAGCCGTCCAAAGGCTGTACCAGGCTGGGAAATTTCCTGCTTATGTCCTTAACTTGGGCCCCAGGGAGGGAAGAGGCTTCCCTAGGAGAAGGGTCTGTCTAGCATTTTGGACTTTCTGTTGCCTTCAGAAGGGACTCACACACAGCTATAGACAGGAATTAAAAAAGGAACTCATTTTCATGTAATTGCTTGAGCTTTGCTTCTGGGTGTTTCCTGCTAAGCTCAGTAAAGGAAGAATGTCTGCAAAAGGAGTTGGAGTAGTTGCAGGTTGGTTTAATTAAAAATCTGGAGTACTTGGCCACCATCAGCAAGATCCAGTCTGAAGCAAGTGCACAGTTAACAAAAGTCAGTCTGACCATAACAGTTTTTACATAAAAAATCAAGTGAAATTATATAGAACACTGTCAAATAATTATTTAAGGTAATATCTGACCTAGATAGATGGTCCATATTGCTGAGCTTGCTAGAGTAAGGAGTTAATACAGCCTAACACCTAGTCCTAGTCTATGATTACATCATTTGTGTGCTGGAGAGCGTGAGGCAGCGTGTAAAGGATAAGGAGGCAGGTGCTCAGAGGCTGGCTGCTGTCAAGCCCCTTCCCAAGCCCGTGGAGGTGGGTGGCTATCTGCCCTGGTGTCCCACAGTGCTGGAGTTCCCAGTGCGAGGCCGTGTCCCTCTCTTGGCTCTTGGGAATCCGCTCCGCAGGGCTCCTTCCTCCTCACTGCTCTCCTCGGAGCTGGAACCCCCTGTGCCTGGTTCTGTGCCTGCTGGAGGCCTTTCAGCAGGGTCCCCTGGGCAGGAGACCTTCTCCTCCTGGCACTCGTGCCTGTGGGGAAGCTTCAGGCTCTCGTTGAAGAAGGCAGAAGCCATGCACTCGGCTGCAGCCTGGTCACAGGCACAGAGGAGCTTCTCACACCTGCTCCATCCAACACCTGAAAGGGAAGTTTCACAATTAATGTTTGAAAGCTGTTAAACTTACTTCATGTATAATTTGCCATAGGCAGATGGGCTTTTGAAAATAAAATTTTCAAATCTGCCATGAATTTTAGTCTCCAAAGTCACCATTAATTACCTAAACAAAAGCCTGACACCAAGGTGCTGGGCAGTGGAAATTTCTATTGGCTTTAGTTTAATTTGTGAATGTAAATACACAAATAGCTGACTTCTGTCTGCAATTATAAAATGTCTGAATGAAATTTTCTCAGCCTGCCCTGGTCATATGCACAGCAGTGTAATAACCTTTTTCTCAACTAGGGAAAAAGTTCAAGTTTATGGTAAATATTTCTGTCTCTGTACTCATCTCTAGCAGCTCTGTCATAGTGTCATTCAGTCTATCATGTTGATACACTGTCATTTCCTCTCACACAAGCTTACATTTTGGAGTATGATCCAAACATACAACTTCAGATCTCAGATTTCTTTCTGCATGACATCCAAGTTTCTTAACTTGCTCCATACAGCACTGATGAGAGAAGCAGCAACTAAAATAAACAGTAGAAGTAAATGGAAAATACTTAATTTTCCTGAACCCCAGAATGCTCACAATTATTTGTCTCTTTCAGTGCCCATTAAAACTAAAAATTTTAGTTTTCATACCCTGGAATTTTTTTCTATGAAGAACAGAAAACAACTCAAGCTGTTCCTACTTTCTTCCTTACTTGTTCCTACTTTCCTGATTACTTTCGTGTCATGTGTTTAACAGGAGTGTGTTTTAAGACACGTAATTACAATTGTAACCGTGACCTAATCTGCCATGAGAAGTGTCTTCCAGTGTTCAAATCTTGGCTGGAAATCTGAAAACTGCATCATGATACCCAGATCTTGCCATCATCTTTTTCCTGTGTGGGCTGTCTTGTTTGTGTGTGAGTGCAGGAAAAGGAGTGCGTGCTCTGCTTAGACCTGATGTGCCCCAGCTGTTATGAACTTCCACAAAGGAAGAGATTTTTAGCTGTAAATACAATGCCCCCTTTGTGGAATTCCCTGCATTGCCCCTTATCGTCAGCCATGCTGGCTCTTGGCCACAGCTCTGACAGAACTTTGCTCCAGCTCTGCTCCCTTCTGAAGGACAGTGGGACCTGGGTGGATATCAATTCTTCTCTTCATAAGTCACCTTCCAAGCCACCTCTTAACCAAGTTTTACTGTGACCCCTATCCATTTGATTAACTCCTTCTGCTCTGCTTACCACCTGTTGTTCTCCTTTCTTACTTTAATTAAATCCTCTCCAAAATATTGATGCAACAATAGAAAGTGGTTTAGTCACATTAGACTATTTAGTGTTTTATTTATTTAAGTGGATTTTTTTTCCCCAAACTGTGACTTGACTACTGCTACATAGCTATCCAATGCCCAAAAAATGATGTACTGATCTTCCTTGATCCCTGGGCACCACAATAGCTCTCACAGTTAATGGCACACACAGAGGAGCCCACACCTGTCCAGTGCATCGGTGGGATCACCTCTTCCCTCTTGGCCACAATAGCAGCCATAAGACTCAAATTCCTCTGGGCATCTCTCAGTTAAACAGAACAGCATTTCTCCAAGCTGGGGCAGCTCCCTCTTCACTCTTCCACGTCCTCTCTCTTGCAGAAAGGTCAATCGCTCACACACTGCAAAGCAAAGTTGTTATTTGACACATCATGTTCTGACTGGTTGAGGGCTCTCTTGTGAAGACAGAAGTGTTTCCAGAGCTATCAGAAACTTTGAAGGACAACATTTTACCATCTCTAAATTATTGCTTCAGTCCATGAATTATGGCTCTTAGAATACTGCTGACTGAGGAAGACAGCAAAAGGGCAAGGCAATATTTAAAGGGGAGAGAGATCCCTATGAAGATAGAGCATACAAGTCAAACTGGACTGAAATGAGAACACTTAGCAGTCCTTTGTAATCTTTCATAAGTAAATTTTTCTTTTGGAATATTCAAACTCAGCTGAGTATTCAGTGGTTTCTGTCTTGGTAATTCAGAAAATACAGTTCTAACATCTTGTTCTTCCAGTGATAGCTGGGCAATGACCATGTTTTGCTGAAGGAATTTTTTTTTTTTTTTTTTTTTTTTTTTCTCATTTGAAACAGTCAAATTTCAGCTGAGGTGCCCCAAGACCAAATGCAGGAGTGATCTGTTGTAATGGCTATTTTACTGCTGAGGTTTTGGCATCACCAAATCCCAACCCTAATGTCTCTGTGCCTCCCTCTACTTGGGAAGACCTGATACTGTGAGAATTTTTAATAAGATTTGAAAGAACACAGGGTTCCACATCAGGAAAAAGACATCTGGGACTTTGCTGGGGAAAGGATGGAAGGGGCTGAATGGAAGGAGAAGGAGGGAGGGGAGGAGGAAGGGAGGGCTTCTGTTCCCTCTGCATCCTCCTTTCTCCCATGACTAATTCCATCTTCCCCTCTGCAGCTCTGGACTGTTTCCCTGCTCCTGTCAGAGTCAATCCTGAGTTACTGTCTCCAACAGGAAATTCTGCCCATGTGCCTTCTTGGGTCTTGACTCATCCATGTTAATTCACAGAATAAACCACAGGTTCAGGGAATTGATCTCTGCTCTCTAAAAGCTGGTATTTTGAAATCAAATTTTCCAGTTTGGTGAAAGGTGGGGTAGATTCTTCTGCTCTTTTCCTGTTCCAGGGTTACTTCTCTCCATTGGAAAGCCTAAAAAGATGGATGGGACAGTCCTGAGTGTGAACTTATAGCTGTGACAGGTCTGAAAGCTCTTAGGATCACTGGGATCTCTGAGCAGGAATTGAAACAGAATCAGAAATGGTGAGAAAAAGTCTGACTGGCAAGACTGTGGCAAAAGTTCAGAATGAAAAGCAGGAAAGTTCCTATTATTGCTGCTGCTGCTTATAAAACAAAGTAACTTAAAAATTGTGATTAAATTACTTAAAACAAACAAAAGCAGGGAGAAACAGTTCCTGAGCTCATTATAGATATTGCACTATATGAAAAATGTACTTACAAGCTAATAAGAAGTAGTTTTTGTGAGTGTTTCTGACAGCATATTGGCAGAAGAGTGATGGAAGCTTTGCAGATGTCTCCACCTCCTGTTCTTCTAAATACCAATACATGTGTGCTTATCTAACTGATTTAAAATAATTATAATCTTTATATGTAATGCTTACCTGCTTTTAATACAGAAGTTGCTGAATATTTCATCAGATGTAATGGGGAAAAAACCACTTTATTTACCTTTTCCTTCAGATCCTCTCTCAGACAGTCCCAGGTCCAGAGCTATTCCAGAGGCAGCTGTGCTCAGGCCACCCCTTGCAGAGCTTGTTTCTAGAGAAGACAAAGGCACAGATTAGACTTGTGAAGTTAGAATGAACTCTTCCTTCAGGAGTGTGTCCAAAAGTGAATATTCTAAACTATTATCAACTGCAGTCTTCTAAAATTTGTTAATTCTTAGTGGGAGGTTGTTTATTAATGGTTAGTTCAGCTTTCCTGGTCAGGTGTCAGTGAGCTGCCCTTTCTAGTCAGTGTTACACATCCTCTATTTTATGTAGCCTCCAAATTTAAATAACCAATTAGTTTCATTCCACATATCCATGAAAAATGCTGACTGCTCAGATAGCTGTGAACAGGAATAGGGGAGTCCTCTAAATTAGAAAATATGTAATTCATTTTTCACTTGCCTTTTCCTTTTGTCCTTGCAGGTGTGCCTGCAGGACTCTTGCTGGTGGGAACAATTTTGACTTGCATTGAGTTACTGTCTCCTGGGAATGAGGCTGGGGATGTGGTTATCTCTTCCACTGAGACCAAAGACTCCATAAATCCATCTTCTTCTGAATAAACAGAAAAAAGAAAGCAGAAGAAGAAATAGAAAATAAACAGCAAGATTTTAATTTTAGATAGCTGGTGAGAGCAATATCCTCAGGCAGAATGAGTGTGAATTGTTGGTCATAGAGAAGGAATATCTAAGAGGAAAATTAGAAAAGCAGAGAATCCACACTGGTCATTTATTCACACCTCTTGTCTTTCAGAAGAAAGGGCTGTGGTTAACTATGATCAGTTTAACTGCTGATTGGGTTTTTTTTTTTTAATTCTCTATGTACTGAGACAAAGAGCTATGCCAGGTGCTGAAAATCATGTTGTTTGCTGCTAAATCAGCTGTACTTAGAGATGAAGTACAGGTGAGATGTCATTTGCTGGGTAAATTGATTTAAAAAGTGTATGTTCACCTGAAGTTTCTAAAACTGAGAGTAACATCAGTGAAAGGAGGAAATTATTTGACTGATGCAGAGCTGGGTGACTGAAGGGTTTACTTGGTTGTAACCACAAGGAAATATTGAGGGGAAAATAAGTTGACAAATAATTATTTTCAGGGGTTTCTTTATTCTAAAAATTAAATTGGTATTTGTTTTTAGATTATCTGACACTCTATTGTTGATCAGAAATGTTTTGGTGAATTTGGAAATACTTAAAATATTTTTTCTTCTTTTCTAAACCTTTTTTCATATAAACTAATTTGTAAATGAAAACACTTATCAAATTGTTTCATTTTTTCTAAATTTCAATGTGAACAATGTGGCATTTCACAAAATAAATACTTTGAAAATTGTAATGGGAATATATTTTCATATTTTTAAAGCTTCCCTTTTGAATTCTTTGGCTGAATTTCTTAATTAGTCTAAACTCAAATTCATTAAACTTGTCCCTCTGATGTTCTGGTTTTAGTATGTATTGAAAATAACCTGTCACAGGATAAGAGAATAGTTTAAAAGAAATAAAAGTACTGCTAAGAACACAGCAAAGCCCATGAAAGGTGGCAGAAAGGGATCAATAGTCACACACTGGTTTTATTAAGGTGCACGTTTTATGCCACTTTGTTTGGCAGTGGAATGTTGACATGAAAGTGATTTCTGCTGGATGTAGAAAACTAAACCAGAGTTTGGGAAATTCTACACTGAGCTAAGAATAGATATCACAAATAATCTCTTGGGAGCCATGCAGACCTGCAGTACAATACACTGATTTTTCTGATACATTCAAGTTAATGTAGGAGAGAATTTAGTGATTTTGACCAGTGCTTAGTACAGCAATGCCGAGTTCATTGGGGTGGGAGGCAGAGCTATTGTTCAGACAGTGTAATTAGTAAAAAATGACTGCTTTCTACTCTCCATATGCAGTTTTCTCTGACATTTTTCTGGTGGATTTCAGTCTGCCTGGATAATCCCTTCTACACAAAAGGGAGCACAGGAAGCTTCCTGATCTACCAAGGTGCTCCATTTTCAGCTGCACCCACTGGTGAGGCTGTGCCCAAAGCACAGACACCTGGGAAAGCTGGAACAGCTTTTAGACTGAGAAAGAGTTACCTGAAATTATCTATAATAAAGGAGGAGGCAAAATCAAAATGAACACTTCTGGCAGCAGATGCTGTGACTGTAATTTACAGAAACAGCCATGATATCATAAAACCTCATGTGAAGAGGCTTTCAGAAATACTTGGATGAGGAGGGCAAATGAGTGGCTGGAGGCAAGGAACAGCTAATGCTTCTCAGCCAGGTTTTATTGTTTGTGTATCTGCTACCTGCCCCTGATCTAAATTTGATTGTCCAGCAGCCCTGTTGCTGCCATGCACAGATTTCTATCTGTGATGTTTTTAGATGAAGAATTGCTGTGTCAGTCAAAGAAAGAGGATAACAGTCACTGACCTTTAATCGAGAGGATGGGGGGAGCAGGAGCTGTGCCTCTGTGGTTCCTTGAGGTAACTGTACAAAAACAGAGGCATTGTGCTGGTGACCTGCCAGCTGAATTTCTGAAACATGTGACACCACAGAGCTTCATAAATGAAAATCCATCTTCACCTGGAGTCAAGAGTGCCAAACTGGTAAACAAAAGTTTAATGACTCTTACCTGTGGCTTTAGAAGTTGCCAAGACTCTGTCATGAGGCTCAAAAGAAACCACTGTTGAAAATAAAAAATATAAACTCAGGAAACACATTGCCAGCACAGTTATGATCAGTCAGGTTGCTGAGAAGAGTTTTTACTGAAAACAAAAAGATCCAGACGTATCATGGGTTGACATTTGCCTGTTTTTCTCAGTGGTATGTTAATGATTATAGACAAAGTGATCCTGATAAATTAATCTTATTGCATGGAAATAATGTAGATAGCACTGACACAGGATTGTGTGATTCTGTAAAAGAAGCAGCATAAATATGGCTGAATTGGGAAATTCAATATTAAGCCCATTTGACAGGCAAATAGACTAAACAGGAGCTGGTCTGGCATCCCAGTGTTGTGCATAGAAGGATTCTGCATTCCTTGGGAACACCTTGTGTTTGCTTGAACTAAAAGTCAGGTATGGATGGGCACCCATAAGTCCAAATAGCTCCCTAACCTCTAATTTATTTCTTTACCTGATAAAATGATTTTCATTTGTCAGTTGCCTTTTGATAAATTATAAACATAGCTATCAAATTATCTAAAAAGCAATCTCCACATTATTTTCTGTGTTAGGATGTTGTCATGTGAAGAACTCCTTTGCCTTGAATGAGTTTTGCAGTGATATTTAGCTTTGGTTTAATGCATTTTCCACAGTTGTAAATGTTGAAGCTTCTTTGGGCTTGAAAAGGGAGACAACTGGTTAAATAGTAAGTGGTTCTCCAAATGTTTCCTTCAAAGACTGATTAGAAATGTTATCTGTGCTGTTTTCAGCTTTCTAAAATTCCTGATACAGGTTTTTATTCCTTGGTGATACTTGGAGCCTTGTGATGGACTGTGCCTCATTAGGGAGCAGGAGCAGTTTTTTCAGGAAGTAAAAGAGTGCAAATACAGGTGCTGTCATTGTTTCAGGAGTTCTGTTTTCTATCACAAAGTGTCCAAGAAGCAGATAGAAAAACATGAACCAACACTGGAGCTGCTGAAAAAAATAAAAACAAATAAACCCACAAACCTTTAAGTATCAGAAACATTGTTTTTTAAAAAGAAAAAAAAAATCCATGTGGTTTTCATTATTCCAGATTCACACTTAGGGCAATGGCACACACAGAGGAGCACACTAAAGCTTGAAATCAGGTTCTTAGGTTATCCAAAAAAACCCAGCTCTCCACGTCTCCCATGCAAGCTGGTCTAGTGGAGTGTCCCTGCCCACAGCAGGGGGTTTGGAATGAGATGATCTTTAAGGCCCCTTCCAGCACAACCCTGTGATTTTCTGGGTTAAGCCATGGTCTGGCTGCACACATCCAGTGCATGGTGCTTGTGTGCTTGGCAGATATCGGGTCCATGAACAGAGTCACAGAATCCTCAAGACAGGAAGAGACCTTCAGATCACCCAGTCCAACCATCAGCCCAGCACTGCCCCTGTAACCCCTAAACCATTAAACACATCACCCAGCACCTCTTAAACACCTCCAGGGCTGGTGACCACCTCCCTGGGCAGCCCATTCCAATGTCTCAGCACCTGAACAGTGAAAAAATTCTTACCAATATCTAATCTGAATCTCCCCTGTCTCCTCTTAAGGCCATTTCCTCTGATTGTTTCCCTGCAGGTATGGTAAAGAAGACCGACCCCCACCTCACTACACCTCCTGTCAGGTGGCTGCAGAGAGCAGTGACTGAGCCTGCTCTTCTCAAGACCAAACAAACCCATCTGCCTCAGCCACTCCTGATAAGAAATGTTCTCTAGTCCTCTCATGAGACTTGCTGCCCTTCTCTGGACACACTCCAGCACCTCAATGTCCTTTATTAAAATGAGGGACCTAGAGCTGAGCACAGCACTCAAAATGCAGCCTCACGATGCTGAGGGGTGATCACTGCCCTGGTCCTGTTGGTCAAACTATTGCTGGCACAGGCCAAGTGCCATTGGCCTTCTGGGCCACCTGGGCACACACTGGCTCCTCTTGAGGCAACTGTGGACCAGCACTCTCAGTCCATTTTCCAAAAAGCTCTGATGCCACTCCTTTCTTAAGAGCATTGTGTGGCTTTTCTTGTGATGGAGCCACAAAACAAGAGTGCAGCAGCTAAACTGGGGCTGTTGTCCAAGACTGGTCTTCGTCTCTACTTCATATCTTGGCCCTCTCTTGCAAGGTGTCCCCTCCCAGAGCCACGAAGGGCTTTGGGTGCTCTGTCCCTGGCCTCTCGTGTTGCAGTGATCACCACACAGGCAGGAGCAGAACTGATTCTCACACTGCAGGAGTGAGGTTTTGTGAGTATCCACTCCTCATAAAACAGACATTTATTGTAGCAAAAGACTGTCATGAGAGCTTCTGGGTCTTGTGGTTTAGAGACTCACCAAGGAGACTCCAGGGTGAGGAGGTTTCAGCCTGGATCTCTTCATGACACGTAAATAAACCACCAAAGTGGTGGCTCATTGGCACAGACCATGCTCAGCATTTCCTCGTGCTGCTGCTTGATCTTAATTAATTCAGTATCTTTTAAAGACAAGAAATATGCAATTGTCTGTGGGTCCAGTGGTTGGCACAGAGGGCATCTCTGCCAAGCAGCTCACCTGCTCCAACCTGTGTTCCCAGGAAAAAAAGGCTGTTTTGATGAAAACAGGTTTTGTTGCACTGATTATTCTCAGCCCTTGGCAAACTTACTGTAAACACTGATTAAACACATTAGATGCACAAATTGATAAATTGCACCTTCCCATTCAGTCTTGAATCCATCACCAAAACACTACATCTACTTTTACATCAGTCCTTTTAAAAGAGAAGAAAGGAAGCAAACATCTTGTATTCTCTCAGCTTTTGGAAGCTGAAAGCAGGGCTTTTTTCTCTCTCAGATGCAAACCTTCTTCCACAGATGCAGTCACAACCCGTGTTTCATCAGTCCCTTGGTGAACCACCTCTGCAAAAAAAAAAAAAAATTACTCCAGAAACTCATGGCTTAGTGTGCTCCTTAGACTGCATCATGGCATAATATGATAAGAGTCATCAGAAGGGAACTTATTTCTAAATATTATTATAATTACAGTAGCAGCATTAAAATATTGCTTTGGTATTTACACCTTGCTGATACTAAATTCTACTGAAATCTAACCAGGCACCTAAAATTAGAAGAGGCATCTAGTGAACTAAAATTGAATCTGTCTTTATCAGCAGTGATAAAATCAACATGATTTTCCTGTTAGCACCAAACAATTTCCCCTTTTATTTTTAGTGTGTTGGGTTTACCATACTGTATATTATGGCCATCTGATCTCAGTGATTAAAGATTACCGTCTTTAAAAAAACCAACTACCTGGCTTTGATGCAAACCTTCCTGGGGCATTTTCTTCTCTCTTGATGCATTCAGGAGGGTATGCACACATCCAGGCTGTGATACAGGTGTGTGTCTGTCTGTCCTTAGCACTGGAGGATGTGACTGTGAGCCAAAGTGTTAGAAAAGCTAATGCTGCTTTTTCACATCTCCCTCAGCTTGGGAGCCCAGAGATCCTGTCTCTGCCATGCTCTGATTGCAATCCATATGAATGAAGTTTTTAATCCAGGCCTGCTCCCACGGGGCAGGAATTTGGTCTTGTGAGGCTGTAATTTCAGCTGCAGAGCACAGGTCAGTGTGGGACCATGGGAATAAACATCCCCTCCATCCTTAGCAGGCATTTTTTCTTTACAGAATAGAAACCAAGTAACTGAACAGAGTAAGCCTCTTTTTGCTTTTCCAGTCAGTTTTTGAATGGTTTAAGGGAAGATTTGGGTTAACAATATTTTCAGCATTTCCTGCTAGTGACCTCACAAGTATCATTAATTCATTTCAGGTGGCAGACGCTCCTTGAAGAAAAAAAATTCTTCACATCTAACTGGAATTTCCCTGTTGCAGTTGTGTTCCTTGCCTCTTGTCCTGTCCCTGTGCACCTCCAGGAAGTGTCTTGTTCCATCTTCTCTCCACAGCCCACTCAGAACTGAGAACAGCAAAAAGATCTCCCCCAAGCCTTCTCCTCTTTCCTCATGGGCTCCAGCCCCCTTCCCCTTCCCCATCCCAGAAGCCTCTCCTGGCCCTGCTCCAGGATACCAGTCTGCCACCACCTTCTCCCCTGGTATTCACCCAAATAGCAATAAATGTACAGGACACGTGAAACACAGACCAGATTTGTGTCAGGAAGGCACCCAGCTCCCGCTTCATTCTTGGCTTACATTTGATGCCAGCAGGAAATCTAGCAGGAGGGGGCAGTCGATCAGATCCCTATTATTTATTACCTGTAACTGGAGATGGGCAGGAAGAGACATCCAGCCCATTCAAGGAGGAGTTAATCTCTGCATTCACAAAGCATTCAATGGCATCTTTGTCACAGGTGCAGAGGAACTGTTCACAGGGATCCACAGACTCTGGAAATAAAACAAAAATCCAGACAAGGCGCTATTGAAAAACCTTTTCCACCTTCTGCTTTTTCCTCCCTTTAAGGTTTGTGTCTGTATTTCCCATACAAAACATGGTTAAGTTTCATAGTCCAGCTCTTGTTTTAAACACCAGTTGGTGCAGCCTGGCATGGCTGTCAATAAGTTATTGCCTCATTTCTTGTGTCTGCAGAGTATTGAGGACTACAGAGCAATGCTCTAGTTTGTCCATGGAAAACTTAATCCAGCTGATACTGATTAAACTTTTCACAGACTTCATTAAATATTCCTCCTAACTCAAGAAGTCACAGTCCACAATCGAAGCCTTTCATGTGAGGTGTGATTTGCTCCTTTTAAAGAATCAGAGAACCCTAGAACAGCTTGGATTCAAAGGTGTGTTAAACCTCATGTCATTCCACCCCCTGCCATGGGCAGGGACACCTTCCACTAGAACAGGTTGATCAAAGGCCCATCCAGCTGGCCTTGAACACTTCCAGGGACAAGACATCTACAAGTTCTCTGGGAAACCTGTGCCAGTGCTTCACCACCCTCAAAGTTAAAAATTTCTTCCTAACATAAAGGATATGAAACAGTTTCCCAGGAAATACTATTTTCCCTCTTCTTAATTTCTTCTTTCAATACTATATTTCCCTCTTAAACTTGTCAGAGTTTAAAAACATTGACTTTTCATAGCTGTCACACTTCTATTTTGTATTTGTGATGGAGACAATACAAAAAGAGTTTAAAAAACATTGTTAATGTTTAAATGCACTTGGACTATTAGAGATTGGCCTAAATATCAAAAATGGTTTTAATTTGAAACAAGAAATGGAACTTGGGTCAGATTGTTGCATAAATAGGATGTAAGGGTATTAGTCTGGGAATTATGCTCTTCTTTGCTGGTATCCTCAAACCATGTTCTTTACATACAGTCTTTTCTGAGAGCCAATACTTGATGAAAAATTATATTACATGTTATTAGGCATTAAAGAACCCCACTGCATTCCTGTCAGGTCTGTACCAGCATTGCACAGGATAGTTCCTGTTACAACACACGTTCTCTGCCTCAGCTGTAGCTGAGGAGTGTGTGTGACCCTCTGAACAAAGAATCTGATCCCTCAAAGTGCAGAAAAATCAGGCCTTGATGCCTCAGAAGGAGATTGTTTTTCAGGTCTCTCCTCAGCATCTGCTGCATTTCTGATGTGTGGAGACATCTCAAGCAGTGTTTAGTGGTCCTGCAAAGTAAGGGAAACCCCAGGAAGAGGCTGCCTGTTGGAGGAACCCTGGGAAGTGAAGGTGGTTTCTGATTAATTTGCCTATGACTTTTGGTAGGTAGAACTTCTGGTTGCAGTGAGGCTCCAGTTTTAAGCTTTTTTGACAGGTCAATCTCACCACAGGTCAGGTTTTTAGTGGAGCAGCTGAAATCTGCAGAAATCTTGGATGGGTCCCATGTGCACTCCATCTCCAGCGCTTCCTCGTAGCATTTGCGGTGCTGAAAACAGCATCTTTAAAAGGAAGGAACAGAGAGGTCAAACCATTTCATTTCAGTTCATGGTCAGACTGCAGTGATGACATGTGGCTCTTCTGCAGAACCACAAGAGATGCCAAAGGAGAAAAGGGGGTCCATGTGTGATCCCCAGACAAAAGAAAGGCCGAGTGCTGCCTTTCCCAGGGTCAGAGTGCTGGGATAACCATGGGTGCATGCAAAGCTGAGTGCTGGGACCAGGTCTGCCTGCTGTGGGTGACCAAACATTTGTGTCCTGCTGTGGTACCCTTGAAAGGACTTTACAAGCATTTTAAATAAAAAATCCACTACCAGTGCACAAATACTTCCCCTCAGCACTGTCAGCTCACTGACAAGCAAAGCCCCACAAGTCAGCTTGGATCTAGTCCTGTCCCAGCCTTTCTCACTGCAGATTTGGAGAACTACACTCACTGGACCTGGCACTCATGGAGGGTTAATGGCTCTGCAGTGTGAATTCCTGGGTCTGTGGGGACTGTATAAATGCATACAGTTTTCTCATCTATTTCTTGTACTTGTATGTACAATTATTACTTATTACTTATTACTTGTATGTAACAATCACAATTGAAATGCACCATTTAGCCATGGGAAAGGGCCATGAAATATTTTTCTTTCACTAGAATAAACCAGTTTTCTCCTACCACTATACAACACAAACAGTCAGAAGCCTAGTGTTTTCCTGCACCCCTGCTGTCCTGCCAATCTCAAATTGCTTACAGGGCCACTTAAGTTTTGAATAGAAATAAAAAGTCAATTAAACCAACAAGCTCTTCTTCATTCCTCTCCTCTCTTCAGCTCTTTGTACACATAAATCATCTACACATCTCTGTGCACTGACATCAGCTTTAAATGAAATGCCAGTAAAAGAGTCATTATTTACCCAGGTAAAATTGTTACATATATTAAAGGGTATTGCTGTTAGATTCAGATTGAAATACCCTCATTTCAAAGAAATGGACTCAAAACACTTATGGAGTTGTAATTAGCCTGGGCAATGCTGAAGGCAAGGACAACATGAACATCCAAACCCAGTATCTGCTGCCAGGAAGGCTGGCAGCTGCTCCTTGTCAGGCTCCAGTCTAGAGGGCCCATCTAGGCTACACATGCACTTTTTCATCTCCTATATTTAGAAATAATTTCTCATTGAATCACTGACTGTATTAATAAATAATGATCACAATATTTCATTTGTCTTCACTACCAGAGAAGGAGTGCAAGGAATGTATCTAAAAAACTTGAGGGCAAATAGCATTCAGCAGAAAGGCCTGATGGCTCCTCTGCACCACAAATTCTACAGTGCCTTGTTCCACAGATGAGGCAGAAATCTGTGAGCTCCATCAGGAACAGGGTTTCCAACACACAACTGGTGATGTCTCAACACTCTCCTGACTCTACCTCAGGTCTAGTGAGATGTTAGCATCTAAAAGCTCCTCTAACTGCATAAGAAATCTAACAAAAAAAACCTCTCTGGTTTGTTTAGAGATTCATAATTGCATCAACATTTGCTGCAACAGTTAATCCAAAAATTTGCTTACTTTCCCTTTGCAAGCAGGATATTGTAAGATATGATTTGTCTTCTGAGCCTGCCTCTCTTTCACAAGGTCTGTGGAGATAAACTTGGCTCCTAATTTAGATATGACAATGTGCTACTCTGGAAAATGGGAAAAGGTTGGTCTTAAAGGCATTAGTACTTTCCAATGCCTTAAAAATCTGCTGTGAGGCATTGAGCCCTTTTCTGTGGAACAGAAATAGCACAAACAAGCCTCAAGGTTTGCAAAACTAGTTTCTAAGAAATAAAATCAGTGAAAAAAATTGCAACACTGTGGGAACTGTCTCTGTGAAAGACACACAAGCCACTGGTTTGGAGGCTCCCTTGAACCAAAAGCACATCTCTGTCAGTGGCAAAGCAATAATCAATCTCTGTTTGCTGCACACGGCAGTAGGAATTCTGTGCTGATAAGGAAACCTCACCCCAGGGCTGCAAAACAATTTGTAAATACAAACTGGCTGTGTGGGTGATTCTCAGGACAAACCTGCTGATGGATGTTTCTGCAGTTTCTGGGTTTGTGCTGCTCTGCATTAAAATGAAGCTGAGTGAAGCAAAAGCCCAGGTGCTCAGCTCTTGGGTATCAATCCATTAAACTGACTCGAGCTCCCATTTCAGGATGTCATCACAATTGTTCAGAAAACCTTTCACAGAGAAACTCCATGGCTTTTTTCCAGTAGCAGGGTCAGATCTCCATTTTCCCAGCCATCCCACGCTGCAGAGTGGATGGATTAATTTCCACCTCTCTATAGGCTTAGCCCTTTCTGAGTCGTTGCTGTCTTCACTCAGGGAATTAATACATTACATTGTTGGAAAACCCATTTTCTTCACAGACATGGATATATCTTGATTCTCTTTGAATTTCCTTTCACATCTCCTGCTGATATAATTGAACAAGTATTTGATTGTCCTGGTCTGAGATTACATTTTCTCTCACTAGAGCCAGATGATATGGGTCTTAGCCCTAAATAAATCTATCTTTTTATTACTGTTTTTAAATTATTTATGCAGGAGTTATGCTTTGGATAATCAGAGCANATTCATATTAGTGAATTCATTTTCTGAAGTTAATGGGACTGAATGAAAAACATCTGGAAATGCCTGTCATCTATTACATTTGCAGTACAGACAAAGCCATAAATATGAAATATTTAAGTTACATTGAGTGATTACTTATGAAGTAATTTGAATATTTTTTATGTATTAAGATTTTGGGTCTTCAGTGAATTAAAAAATAGGTTGTAAATTACACATCATGGATTTTAAAGTGCTAAGATTTTTTAAAATAATATTTTTCTGACAAGTGACCTAGCTATGGGAATACAGAATTATCCAGATTCCTTATTTCATATTACTGTAAGTAATTGCTAATTAAAGCTTTGCAGTCTGCCAAACTCCTGTTTAAAATATGGATTAAACATTGATGTTTAGAACAGTAGAGGCATTCTGAGCAGTAATTTAATCTGCTAGTATTCCAACTGTGACTAATCCCTGAGGTACTTAAATTCACTGGATGCTGGAATGTATAGGTTCAGTTAGCTTATGGAGATTGAACCAGCTTTTCCCAAATTCTGATAGAAAACTCTGGCCACCTGTCAGCATGGTACTCAGAGATTCTTGTTTCCTCTTGAATCTGAACCTGGGTATAACACGTGAAAAGTGCAGGCCATAAAGCAAAAGGGAGCCTAGATGTTACTTATAATTAAAGACATAGTAAGAAAGGGAGAAAATTGGGTCCTCAAACCATCTCCCTGAAATTTTATCTGCATTTCACTTTATGAGCAATGCCAGATGACAACTCACTTGAGAATGGTTACATCACTTCAAGCACAGCCCTTGTTCACTTCTGCAGTGCACATTTGATCTTGTACTTCACAGGCAAAGACTGCATTTGTCTTTATTTTTTTTTTTTCATTATTCTTTTAAGATAACAATGGACTTGAAGAACAGGAAAAGGAAAAAAGGCGTCTCGTGATTGAAAAGTTCCAAAAAGCACCATTTGAGGAAATTGCAGCTCAGTGTGAAACCAAAGTGAGTTTCTGCAAAATGTTAGCCCTGAGGGTATCAGTGTAGGCAATAGTGGGCACCTTCTGACTGAAAGTGTTTTAAGTTGTCTTGTCACTGCTGCAGTTACTTCTTGAGAAGTTTTTTTTTTTTTGTTTCTCTACTGCTGTCAATGTTGGGACATTCCAGTAATTTGAAGTGTGTTTTTTTTGTTCTTAGACCATTTGGAAGGTAATGGGTAGCTTGTACATTCTTTACCATAATATTTTCCTTGTTATCTTTGAAATCCAGGTTCACAGTCCATTCCTATTTCATTCTGGGATAACTGGAGCAGCATTTAACCCACTAGGTATTTCAAATAACTAAATGTATCTCAGGTTTGTTAAATTCCTGTCTGCAACAGCAGAATTTGCTGTTTAATTCTTGGCATTCCAGGACAGGCTCACTCAATCTTAAATGCATCTTTAAGACTCAGAATCTTTGCAGCACTGAGAAAGGAAATTAAGAAATGAGGCCTAGATTTACATGTGGCAGTGTGGAACACACTCACCTGAGTATGGCCTGGCTCCCATTGTAGCTCAATTCAATATCTAGGAGTCAATAATTCAGTTTTAATTCTTCTTTTCCCTAGGCAAACTTGCTTCACGATAGACTGGCACAGATACTGGAACTCACCATCCGGTAAGGCTTTATGTGAAAAGAATATCATAACTGAAAAATGGCTTAGAAAACAATTGTGGCTGTTTTCAGATGGTTATGTCTTAGTGTTCTCAAACACCTGTAATAGGGAGAAAATAATTGCCTTAACTGAATGCTTTGGTTTACCCCTGATAGGCCTCATGTAACCCCAGGTAGCCACTGGCTTAACCTTCCTCAGCAGGATGAGGAAGAGAATTGGAAGGGTAAAAGTGAGAAAAACCATGGGTTGACATAAGAATAATTTAATAGGTAAAACAAAAGTCACACATGCTAGCAAAGCAAAATAAGAAATTAATTCACTTCCCATGGGCAGGCAGGTGTTCAGCCATCTCCAGCTAAGCAGGACTCTTTGGGAAGGCCAGTGCCATCACTTTAAACGTCCTTTTCTTCCTGCTTTTTTCCTTAAAGCTGTTATTGCTGAGCATGACACTGTATGATATGGGGTATCCCATGGGTCAGTTGAGGTCTGCTGGCCCATCTGTGTCCCCTCCCAACTTCCTGCCCCACCTGCAGCCTACACCCTGGCACAGCAGTGTGAAGAGCAGAAAAGACCTTGACTCTGTGTAAGTTCTGCTCAGCAGTAACAAAGACATCCCTATGTTATCAATACAGTTTCCAGCACAAATCCCAAACACAGCCCAGCTACTGTATACCAGCTATTGTAAAAACAGTTATCCAAGCCAAAACCAGCACACTGAAAAATAATAACTTTTCATCACTTTGATTTTCTTACTATGAATCTTCTTGATAGTGGAGGATATCCAGAAACCATGTCATTGTGTCTTACAGTGTCTCTGTGTCTATCAGTAGTGTACTGCAAGATGCTGTTGTTTTCCCATTGCTGCATCTGGTTGAGAAAGTAATTAGATATTGAGCACCCCAAGTAGTATATGGTGTTATTATAGAGAGTTGTGCACGTCATTATGCAGGATAAATAGTATTTATTAGCAGTAAGATGCATTTTGATAGTTCTGTAACATCAGTGAAATTGATGATACAGACAAGAATATAAAAATCCTCAGGGCATGATAATTTTATTAAAATTTCAAGACTAGGATAAAATGCTGTTTGTATTGGTATTGGTATTTTATTATTTTTTTATACTGTTGGTATATATATTGGGGGTAGTTTACTCTTGCTTCTTGCCTCTAAGTGTGTAAAGTTATAAAAAAGCAATCCATATAACTATAAATTCTGTGTATTGGTTGTGCTTCTCACACAGTCCTCCGCCTAGCCCCTCAGGAACGATGACCATTACTGCTGGACATGCTCATTACCATTCTGTTCCAGTCTATGAGATGAAGTTTCCAGATCTTTGTGTGTATTAAGTGTCTTCTGAAGTCTGCTGGACATTATTTAGAATAGAGTACAATAGAATGACCAAGATGAGTTTTCAAATTTTATTGTTTATTGTATCTAACTTTATTATAATGATTCATATGAGCCAAATACAGATTACTTTAGCCAAATTCATGACACTGTCTTGAATTGTTTTATTCTGTAATATATTTTGAGTTAGGTTTTTCACAGACCATGTTTCTTCATTTTCATATTTGAGTACATGTGAAAATCAAATTTAAAACTTGTTTTGCCATATAGGTAAATATTTCAGTTACTCCAGGAATTTGAATTGCTTCAAATTCCTTTAATTTGAGATATTGTAACTGAAAAACCTATTAAAGCCTTGGTTTGATTTGGTTTTGTTTGGTTTGGGGTTTTTTTGGGGTTTTTTTTGTTTGGTTTTGTTTTTTTTTTACTCCTCTCCTCAATTCTGTGTTGAACTTGAATGCTTTTGGCTTGCTTCACCCCATTCAGTGTAACCAGTGGAGCACTACCTGAGCTCCCTCTTGTTCATGCTGTCATAGCTACTGTTTGGTTTGAAATAGATGGAAAAAAACCAATACCTTACATGTGTTCAAATACAGTGAATGAATTTATGGACACGTGTTAAGTATATTTGATGCATCACATAACATGCTTTTTAGATAGATACATCTAGTATATGTCCTGTGTTTCTTGCTAAAAGTTAAACCTTAAGCTTTGCATAAGAGAGGAGAAATCTCCTCTTGAAGCACGAAATTGTGCAATATATTTCATGTCTTAAGATGTATGGTTTACAGACTGTACTTTTGAAAACACTGTAGTATTTACTGTCTGCTTTAGTATAAATACAGGAGAGATATATTTAGTATAGCAGAAAATAAACTGAGGGCATTTTGAATCATAAATACTGAAACTATATTCTATGAGACGTTTCTCTGTAGTTTATAACAGCTTTTTAGTGATATTTTAGAAATTGAAAGAAAAGTCAATGAAACCATTTAAAGATCAAGAATTTATTACATATATTTTCAAGCAAAAGCATTTTTAGAGATGCATCTCTGTGTTTGTTTTTGTTTCATTTCTCAAACCTTTAAGGTAACTTTCATAGGTTTACGTATCTGAGCATGTATTATTCAAATGTAAATAAAGTAAAACTGATAGAGTAAATCATGGACATTTGATGATAATTGTCAAGGCTGTCTTTATGACTCACTGAATCCTGCAGGCAAAGAAAGAAAAGCAGCATTCATTGATGCCATGAATAGTAAGTTTGACATTAGCTGAATCTGAGGCAGTGCATACATAAATGAATGCTCTCAAATATCTATAGTAAATGTAGACATTTAATTGAGTGCTTTGGATGAACAGTGAACATGAACAAAGTAACCTAACTTCAGTTAGCCCTGCTTTGAGCAGGAGCTTGGTTTAAATAACCTTCTGAAGTCCCAACCTAAATTAACCTTTGATTGCATAACTCAAGATCTGAAGGATTATTAGTCCTGCTAATTTGCTGACTGGAGCATTAGCAAACCAACTGTAAAAAGGATTTTAAGTTTCTTGAACGGTAGTCCAGTATTTTACTGGAGTACATTTAAAAGCTTGATGTGGCATGACATCAGAGAAATAACAGCTACTTAAACCTATGAGATGACATGCTGAGACTTTCAGAAGGCATTCACAAAGCTCAAAAGGTAATTGAGACCTTCTTTTCAGTTTAACAGTGCAATCACAGCTGTTAGTGGATGACGAAACAGCCCCTTATCTACAGCATTCCGTTGTGATTTTTACTGCTGCAGCGTATCAGCCTGATCAGACCACAGTCTACACATAAATAGGACTCTAGCTTTTAGTTTTCACTTTTTTTTTCTTTTTTTTTTTTAAGGTAAGACTAATAGTTTTTTTGGCCTGTATAAAGAGTGTAATTTTTTAAAAAGTAAATCCAACATAGGGATACAATGTAAAACACCTACCCACTTTGTCCTTTTTTTTAGAATATCACTCAGCACTTTTGTACAAAAAGGAGTCTTAAGTAATAAAGAATGTACTTCTGTTTGCACTTGTGCAGTATGGAGACTGTGCTGTAAATACAGGATTGTTTCTGTGATTGAATTCTGTTACATGAATGCTGCATGTGGAAAAACTGTATTTGGCATTTCATTTTCTGTTCTGTTGATGAAGTATTCTTCCTTTATGGTGATGGTAGGTTTCCGTGTTTCCAGTGTTCAGTTTGGGAAATGCAGGTGTTGTGCAGGTGTAGTTCAGGGAGTGAAGAGCTTGTAACACTTTGTGTGTACATGTGATATTTAATTTCTTCCTTTATGGAAATTCAGGGAGTCTGTAAGTTGATAATTGGTTCACTTTGGCCTTTCTAGACACGTGGGAGACGGGAGTGACTGTAAAATGTATTGTGTTGGTAGTTACTGTTATATGAGCCAATGAATGAAACCAAAAGAATTAAGAATGCTGTTTGTTGTACAGTACAAAGCTGCTTTGTTTCACTTATCTCTTTATGTTCTTCAGAGAAGCTGCAGAACTTAAAAGCTCCTTATGCAAACTGGCCCTGTCACTAAGCACTGTCTTAATGGTTATAATTGGTACCTGGTTTAAATGTATTTCAGCTGTTGCTTGGGGTTCTCTTTCCTATTACATCATCTTGAAAAAAATATAGTTTTTGGTAGTGAGTCACTTTAAGATAAATTAAATTCATGGTAATTTCAAAAGGTAGAAATAGCCTGTTGTCCAAAATCAGAGTAGGGCTAATTTGTCTGTTGTTCCAATGATCATATATTCTGTACTGTACGTAATGAACCAGTTTCAATAAATGTAAGAACACACTGTGCAATCTATATTTAAGCAATAAAATAAACCAAAATTTAAAAATTAATCCTTTCTGAGGTGTCTGTTAATTTTTATTGCTCACAATTTATATGTCAGTTACTAATTTTTGAGCATTTAAAATAGCCCTCAGTTTACACACCTTTTTTTTTTTTTTCTCTTGCAGATATTACAGCATTGTATTGTTATTAAACTACTGCATCTATTTATTATTAAACCTGGACAGGCTTTAGAGGTAGGGCTGTGAGAACCTCATGAGGTTCAACAAGGCCAAGTGCAAGGTCCTGCACTTGGGGTCAGGGCATTCCCAAGCACAAACACAGGCCAGGAGAAAAATGGATTGAGAGCAGCCCTGAGGAGGATTTGGGGGTGTTGGTGGGTGAGAAGCTCAACATGTCCCAGCCATGTGCTTTGGCGGCCCAGAAACCAAACATGTCCTGGGCTGCACCCAGTGCCCCATGGGCAGCAGGGCAAGGGAAGGGATTGTCCCTCTCTATGCTGCCCTTGTTAGACCCCACCTGAGGTCCTGCATCCAGCTCTGAGCCCCCAAAACAAAAAAGATGTTGACTTGTCCAGAGGAGGCCACAAAGTTGATCAGGGGCTGGAGTATCTCTGCTGTGGAGACAAACTGAGTTGGGGCTGTTCATCCTGGAGGAACATGATTTCCCCTGGCTCTAGGGAGACCTTATAGCAGTTTGTAGTACCTAAAGGAGATTCAGGAGAGCTGAAGAGGGACTTTGGGCAAGGGCATGAAGTGATAAGACAAGGAGGAGTGGCTTCAAAGTGAAAGAGTTGGTTTAGATTAGATATTAGGAAGAAGTTCTTTCCTATGCAGGTGGTGAGGCACTGGAACAGGCTGCCCACAGAAGCTGTGGATGCACTATCCCTGAAGTGTTCATGGCCAGGTTGGAAGGGCCTTTGACCAACAGACAGACAAAGAACCGAATGCTTAAAAAGTTAATAATGAAGTAGGAAATATTTGTAGATGAGTAGTTAATTAATTAGTTGTTTGATTTTGAGAAACAGCTAGGTTTTGGCCAGTTGTGCCCCAAATCTATGAAAAATATGGTGTAAAGTGACTGTGATAATGAGAGAAGAAAGAAGAAAGTTATGCTAAATGTTTCTTTTTATCTGCTTGTCTTTTTTTATTATTAGCACTGATCTCTGATTAATTACAAATAAATGTAGCTAATCATGGCTAGGTTATTTAAGACTTCACTTGGTCAACACAATTCATGTGGTTGTAATTAGGGCACAACTTGGGTGTTATACTCTTCCTGAAATAAGAGATACGAGGGTAAAAAGCTCAGAGGAGTTAATGACAACATTGCCTGAACAATAGTGTATTTATTTCATTATTTCTTTTACCTGATTGATTAAATGATCTGTCCCTTTCTCTGCAGTCAGAAAATTCAGCATCACTGAGTGAATGTAGTAATTATTAGCAGAGAGGAATGGGAGTTTATTTTAAGGTGCAGTGTTCAAAACAGCAGCACCACTCTTGTCAAAGAGATGAACTGTATTGTTACTCTGCAGTGCAATTCATTTACCTGTTTACCAGCCAGTTTTCCACATTTCACCTCATTATTTGTCTCACTTTCTCATTGCAGTATTTATTTATAAATTCTGCGTGAAATGTAAAAAAATTTTTCATCCCTATAATAAAAGTTGATAAAAGTTGCTGTGTAATGTATCATCCTCAGCATAGGACAAAAATGGGCATTTTGCAGTTTTAGCATTTTGCTGACCTCTCTGCCTTCTCTTAAAGAAAGTGGTTTTGTTCTGTTGTTTTTTTCACTAGTGCTGATGGTGTAGCCTCTGGGATCCAGAGGAATTTTTGAGGTTTATTTTGGGAGTTTGTTTAAACAAGTCTTTTACTTGTTTATTTGCACTTTGTGGGGGGTGGGGAGGGTGTGTGGGATGGTAGTGTGTGATTTTGTTTGTTTGTTTAGGGTTTTGTTTGTTTGGGGGGTTTTTGCACTGTAGTAATCCTTTGCACTTTTAATGTAGGAAAAATACTGAAGGGGGTATATCACCAGCCAGAATTTTATATAAAATATAAGCTGCTCATCTAAGAACATTCACAGGAATTTTCACCTGCTGTTCTCACACTGTTCAGTTCACACAGGATCAGATGCTGGGGTTTAGTGAACTGCTGCAGGATCTGGAAGAGTACAGGCAACATCTCTGCATCCAGCATGAGGATACAGTCATTGGTTTGTAGGAACACTTTGGTGAAAGTTCAGCCCCGTAGATGTAGATCTCCAAGATAATGGAGAAGAAATCCAGATCTTTCAGAACAGCTGAACCACTGGGAAGTTTGTAGCAACATTTTTTTTGTTCTAGGAAGTGTTGCTGAGTTACAGAATCATAGAATGTGTTGAGTTGGAAGGGATCTTTAGAAGTTTGTCATGGCCTGATATTACACCTCTCTCCCTTCCAGTTTGTTTTAAAGCCTGTCAATCAGCCCTGACAGCCCATGAGCAAAGACACTCTTGTCCAGGTGAGAAATGTGAATCCCATCTGACACAAACATGTCTGGGGTTGTGCTAATCATCTCATTACCAAAAAAACCCAAATTCTGGCTGTCACCCCAGCCATGGAGCCAGCTATTGATAGACTGGGTCTGACCCTGCAGGGATGGGGGTTAAAATGACCTGTGCTCCACATTTCCTGATCAGCCATTCCAAGGTGCTGAAGTCTCTTTTGATCACCCTTGGACTGAACATTGTGATTTCATCACCCCCAACATGGAAGAGCAATAAAAGTTGTAGCCGTCCAAAGGCTGTACCAGGCTGGGAAATTTCCTGCTTATGTCCTTAACTTGGGCCCCAGGGAGGGAAGAGGCTTCCCTAGGAGAAGGGTCTGTCTAGCATTTTGGACTTTCTGTTGCCTTCAGAAGGGACTCACACACAGCTATAGACAGGAATTAAAAAAGGAACTCATTTTCATGTAATTGCTTGAGCTTTGCTTCTGGGTGTTTCCTGCTAAGCTCAGTAAAGGAAGAATGTCTGCAAAAGGAGTTGGAGTAGTTGCAGGTTGGTTTAATTAAAAATCTGGAGTACTTGGCCACCATCAGCAAGATCCAGTCTGAAGCAAGTGCACAGTTAACAAAAGTCAGTCTGACCATAACAGTTTTTACATAAAAAATCAAGTGAAATTATATAGAACACTGTCAAATAATTATTTAAGGTAATATCTGACCTAGATAGATGGTCCATATTGCTGAGCTTGCTAGAGTAAGGAGTTAATACAGCCTAACACCTAGTCCTAGTCTATGATTACATCATTTGTGTGCTGGAGAGCGTGAGGCAGCGTGTAAAGGATAAGGAGGCAGGTGCTCAGAGGCTGGCTGCTGTCAAGCCCCTTCCCAAGCCCGTGGAGGTGGGTGGCTATCTGCCCTGGTGTCCCACAGTGCTGGAGTTCCCAGTGCGAGGCCGTGTCCCTCTCTTGGCTCTTGGGAATCCGCTCCGCAGGGCTCCTTCCTCCTCACTGCTCTCCTCGGAGCTGGAACCCCCTGTGCCTGGTTCTGTGCCTGCTGGAGGCCTTTCAGCAGGGTCCCCTGGGCAGGAGACCTTCTCCTCCTGGCACTCGTGCCTGTGGGGAAGCTTCAGGCTCTCGTTGAAGAAGGCAGAAGCCATGCACTCGGCTGCAGCCTGGTCACAGGCACAGAGGAGCTTCTCACACCTGCTCCATCCAACACCTGAAAGGGAAGTTTCACAATTAATGTTTGAAAGCTGTTAAACTTACTTCATGTATAATTTGCCATAGGCAGATGGGCTTTTGAAAATAAAATTTTCAAATCTGCCATGAATTTTAGTCTCCAAAGTCACCATTAATTACCTAAACAAAAGCCTGACACCAAGGTGCTGGGCAGTGGAAATTTCTATTGGCTTTAGTTTAATTTGTGAATGTAAATACACAAATAGCTGACTTCTGTCTGCAATTATAAAATGTCTGAATGAAATTTTCTCAGCCTGCCCTGGTCATATGCACAGCAGTGTAATAACCTTTTTCTCAACTAGGGAAAAAGTTCAAGTTTATGGTAAATATTTCTGTCTCTGTACTCATCTCTAGCAGCTCTGTCATAGTGTCATTCAGTCTATCATGTTGATACACTGTCATTTCCTCTCACACAAGCTTACATTTTGGAGTATGATCCAAACATACAACTTCAGATCTCAGATTTCTTTCTGCATGACATCCAAGTTTCTTAACTTGCTCCATACAGCACTGATGAGAGAAGCAGCAACTAAAATAAACAGTAGAAGTAAATGGAAAATACTTAATTTTCCTGAACCCCAGAATGCTCACAATTATTTGTCTCTTTCAGTGCCCATTAAAACTAAAAATTTTAGTTTTCATACCCTGGAATTTTTTTCTATGAAGAACAGAAAACAACTCAAGCTGTTCCTACTTTCTTCCTTACTTGTTCCTACTTTCCTGATTACTTTCGTGTCATGTGTTTAACAGGAGTGTGTTTTAAGACACGTAATTACAATTGTAACCGTGACCTAATCTGCCATGAGAAGTGTCTTCCAGTGTTCAAATCTTGGCTGGAAATCTGAAAACTGCATCATGATACCCAGATCTTGCCATCATCTTTTTCCTGTGTGGGCTGTCTTGTTTGTGTGTGAGTGCAGGAAAAGGAGTGCGTGCTCTGCTTAGACCTGATGTGCCCCAGCTGTTATGAACTTCCACAAAGGAAGAGATTTTTAGCTGTAAATACAATGCCCCCTTTGTGGAATTCCCTGCATTGCCCCTTATCGTCAGCCATGCTGGCTCTTGGCCACAGCTCTGACAGAACTTTGCTCCAGCTCTGCTCCCTTCTGAAGGACAGTGGGACCTGGGTGGATATCAATTCTTCTCTTCATAAGTCACCTTCCAAGCCACCTCTTAACCAAGTTTTACTGTGACCCCTATCCATTTGATTAACTCCTTCTGCTCTGCTTACCACCTGTTGTTCTCCTTTCTTACTTTAATTAAATCCTCTCCAAAATATTGATGCAACAATAGAAAGTGGTTTAGTCACATTAGACTATTTAGTGTTTTATTTATTTAAGTGGATTTTTTTTCCCCAAACTGTGACTTGACTACTGCTACATAGCTATCCAATGCCCAAAAAATGATGTACTGATCTTCCTTGATCCCTGGGCACCACAATAGCTCTCACAGTTAATGGCACACACAGAGGAGCCCACACCTGTCCAGTGCATCGGTGGGATCACCTCTTCCCTCTTGGCCACAATAGCAGCCATAAGACTCAAATTCCTCTGGGCATCTCTCAGTTAAACAGAACAGCATTTCTCCAAGCTGGGGCAGCTCCCTCTTCACTCTTCCACGTCCTCTCTCTTGCAGAAAGGTCAATCGCTCACACACTGCAAAGCAAAGTTGTTATTTGACACATCATGTTCTGACTGGTTGAGGGCTCTCTTGTGAAGACAGAAGTGTTTCCAGAGCTATCAGAAACTTTGAAGGACAACATTTTACCATCTCTAAATTATTGCTTCAGTCCATGAATTATGGCTCTTAGAATACTGCTGACTGAGGAAGACAGCAAAAGGGCAAGGCAATATTTAAAGGGGAGAGAGATCCCTATGAAGATAGAGCATACAAGTCAAACTGGACTGAAATGAGAACACTTAGCAGTCCTTTGTAATCTTTCATAAGTAAATTTTTCTTTTGGAATATTCAAACTCAGCTGAGTATTCAGTGGTTTCTGTCTTGGTAATTCAGAAAATACAGTTCTAACATCTTGTTCTTCCAGTGATAGCTGGGCAATGACCATGTTTTGCTGAAGGAATTTTTTTTTTTTTTTTTTTTTTTTTTTCTCATTTGAAACAGTCAAATTTCAGCTGAGGTGCCCCAAGACCAAATGCAGGAGTGATCTGTTGTAATGGCTATTTTACTGCTGAGGTTTTGGCATCACCAAATCCCAACCCTAATGTCTCTGTGCCTCCCTCTACTTGGGAAGACCTGATACTGTGAGAATTTTTAATAAGATTTGAAAGAACACAGGGTTCCACATCAGGAAAAAGACATCTGGGACTTTGCTGGGGAAAGGATGGAAGGGGCTGAATGGAAGGAGAAGGAGGGAGGGGAGGAGGAAGGGAGGGCTTCTGTTCCCTCTGCATCCTCCTTTCTCCCATGACTAATTCCATCTTCCCCTCTGCAGCTCTGGACTGTTTCCCTGCTCCTGTCAGAGTCAATCCTGAGTTACTGTCTCCAACAGGAAATTCTGCCCATGTGCCTTCTTGGGTCTTGACTCATCCATGTTAATTCACAGAATAAACCACAGGTTCAGGGAATTGATCTCTGCTCTCTAAAAGCTGGTATTTTGAAATCAAATTTTCCAGTTTGGTGAAAGGTGGGGTAGATTCTTCTGCTCTTTTCCTGTTCCAGGGTTACTTCTCTCCATTGGAAAGCCTAAAAAGATGGATGGGACAGTCCTGAGTGTGAACTTATAGCTGTGACAGGTCTGAAAGCTCTTAGGATCACTGGGATCTCTGAGCAGGAATTGAAACAGAATCAGAAATGGTGAGAAAAAGTCTGACTGGCAAGACTGTGGCAAAAGTTCAGAATGAAAAGCAGGAAAGTTCCTATTATTGCTGCTGCTGCTTATAAAACAAAGTAACTTAAAAATTGTGATTAAATTACTTAAAACAAACAAAAGCAGGGAGAAACAGTTCCTGAGCTCATTATAGATATTGCACTATATGAAAAATGTACTTACAAGCTAATAAGAAGTAGTTTTTGTGAGTGTTTCTGACAGCATATTGGCAGAAGAGTGATGGAAGCTTTGCAGATGTCTCCACCTCCTGTTCTTCTAAATACCAATACATGTGTGCTTATCTAACTGATTTAAAATAATTATAATCTTTATATGTAATGCTTACCTGCTTTTAATACAGAAGTTGCTGAATATTTCATCAGATGTAATGGGGAAAAAACCACTTTATTTACCTTTTCCTTCAGATCCTCTCTCAGACAGTCCCAGGTCCAGAGCTATTCCAGAGGCAGCTGTGCTCAGGCCACCCCTTGCAGAGCTTGTTTCTAGAGAAGACAAAGGCACAGATTAGACTTGTGAAGTTAGAATGAACTCTTCCTTCAGGAGTGTGTCCAAAAGTGAATATTCTAAACTATTATCAACTGCAGTCTTCTAAAATTTGTTAATTCTTAGTGGGAGGTTGTTTATTAATGGTTAGTTCAGCTTTCCTGGTCAGGTGTCAGTGAGCTGCCCTTTCTAGTCAGTGTTACACATCCTCTATTTTATGTAGCCTCCAAATTTAAATAACCAATTAGTTTCATTCCACATATCCATGAAAAATGCTGACTGCTCAGATAGCTGTGAACAGGAATAGGGGAGTCCTCTAAATTAGAAAATATGTAATTCATTTTTCACTTGCCTTTTCCTTTTGTCCTTGCAGGTGTGCCTGCAGGACTCTTGCTGGTGGGAACAATTTTGACTTGCATTGAGTTACTGTCTCCTGGGAATGAGGCTGGGGATGTGGTTATCTCTTCCACTGAGACCAAAGACTCCATAAATCCATCTTCTTCTGAATAAACAGAAAAAAGAAAGCAGAAGAAGAAATAGAAAATAAACAGCAAGATTTTAATTTTAGATAGCTGGTGAGAGCAATATCCTCAGGCAGAATGAGTGTGAATTGTTGGTCATAGAGAAGGAATATCTAAGAGGAAAATTAGAAAAGCAGAGAATCCACACTGGTCATTTATTCACACCTCTTGTCTTTCAGAAGAAAGGGCTGTGGTTAACTATGATCAGTTTAACTGCTGATTGGGTTTTTTTTTTTTAATTCTCTATGTACTGAGACAAAGAGCTATGCCAGGTGCTGAAAATCATGTTGTTTGCTGCTAAATCAGCTGTACTTAGAGATGAAGTACAGGTGAGATGTCATTTGCTGGGTAAATTGATTTAAAAAGTGTATGTTCACCTGAAGTTTCTAAAACTGAGAGTAACATCAGTGAAAGGAGGAAATTATTTGACTGATGCAGAGCTGGGTGACTGAAGGGTTTACTTGGTTGTAACCACAAGGAAATATTGAGGGGAAAATAAGTTGACAAATAATTATTTTCAGGGGTTTCTTTATTCTAAAAATTAAATTGGTATTTGTTTTTAGATTATCTGACACTCTATTGTTGATCAGAAATGTTTTGGTGAATTTGGAAATACTTAAAATATTTTTTCTTCTTTTCTAAACCTTTTTTCATATAAACTAATTTGTAAATGAAAACACTTATCAAATTGTTTCATTTTTTCTAAATTTCAATGTGAACAATGTGGCATTTCACAAAATAAATACTTTGAAAATTGTAATGGGAATATATTTTCATATTTTTAAAGCTTCCCTTTTGAATTCTTTGGCTGAATTTCTTAATTAGTCTAAACTCAAATTCATTAAACTTGTCCCTCTGATGTTCTGGTTTTAGTATGTATTGAAAATAACCTGTCACAGGATAAGAGAATAGTTTAAAAGAAATAAAAGTACTGCTAAGAACACAGCAAAGCCCATGAAAGGTGGCAGAAAGGGATCAATAGTCACACACTGGTTTTATTAAGGTGCACGTTTTATGCCACTTTGTTTGGCAGTGGAATGTTGACATGAAAGTGATTTCTGCTGGATGTAGAAAACTAAACCAGAGTTTGGGAAATTCTACACTGAGCTAAGAATAGATATCACAAATAATCTCTTGGGAGCCATGCAGACCTGCAGTACAATACACTGATTTTTCTGATACATTCAAGTTAATGTAGGAGAGAATTTAGTGATTTTGACCAGTGCTTAGTACAGCAATGCCGAGTTCATTGGGGTGGGAGGCAGAGCTATTGTTCAGACAGTGTAATTAGTAAAAAATGACTGCTTTCTACTCTCCATATGCAGTTTTCTCTGACATTTTTCTGGTGGATTTCAGTCTGCCTGGATAATCCCTTCTACACAAAAGGGAGCACAGGAAGCTTCCTGATCTACCAAGGTGCTCCATTTTCAGCTGCACCCACTGGTGAGGCTGTGCCCAAAGCACAGACACCTGGGAAAGCTGGAACAGCTTTTAGACTGAGAAAGAGTTACCTGAAATTATCTATAATAAAGGAGGAGGCAAAATCAAAATGAACACTTCTGGCAGCAGATGCTGTGACTGTAATTTACAGAAACAGCCATGATATCATAAAACCTCATGTGAAGAGGCTTTCAGAAATACTTGGATGAGGAGGGCAAATGAGTGGCTGGAGGCAAGGAACAGCTAATGCTTCTCAGCCAGGTTTTATTGTTTGTGTATCTGCTACCTGCCCCTGATCTAAATTTGATTGTCCAGCAGCCCTGTTGCTGCCATGCACAGATTTCTATCTGTGATGTTTTTAGATGAAGAATTGCTGTGTCAGTCAAAGAAAGAGGATAACAGTCACTGACCTTTAATCGAGAGGATGGGGGGAGCAGGAGCTGTGCCTCTGTGGTTCCTTGAGGTAACTGTACAAAAACAGAGGCATTGTGCTGGTGACCTGCCAGCTGAATTTCTGAAACATGTGACACCACAGAGCTTCATAAATGAAAATCCATCTTCACCTGGAGTCAAGAGTGCCAAACTGGTAAACAAAAGTTTAATGACTCTTACCTGTGGCTTTAGAAGTTGCCAAGACTCTGTCATGAGGCTCAAAAGAAACCACTGTTGAAAATAAAAAATATAAACTCAGGAAACACATTGCCAGCACAGTTATGATCAGTCAGGTTGCTGAGAAGAGTTTTTACTGAAAACAAAAAGATCCAGACGTATCATGGGTTGACATTTGCCTGTTTTTCTCAGTGGTATGTTAATGATTATAGACAAAGTGATCCTGATAAATTAATCTTATTGCATGGAAATAATGTAGATAGCACTGACACAGGATTGTGTGATTCTGTAAAAGAAGCAGCATAAATATGGCTGAATTGGGAAATTCAATATTAAGCCCATTTGACAGGCAAATAGACTAAACAGGAGCTGGTCTGGCATCCCAGTGTTGTGCATAGAAGGATTCTGCATTCCTTGGGAACACCTTGTGTTTGCTTGAACTAAAAGTCAGGTATGGATGGGCACCCATAAGTCCAAATAGCTCCCTAACCTCTAATTTATTTCTTTACCTGATAAAATGATTTTCATTTGTCAGTTGCCTTTTGATAAATTATAAACATAGCTATCAAATTATCTAAAAAGCAATCTCCACATTATTTTCTGTGTTAGGATGTTGTCATGTGAAGAACTCCTTTGCCTTGAATGAGTTTTGCAGTGATATTTAGCTTTGGTTTAATGCATTTTCCACAGTTGTAAATGTTGAAGCTTCTTTGGGCTTGAAAAGGGAGACAACTGGTTAAATAGTAAGTGGTTCTCCAAATGTTTCCTTCAAAGACTGATTAGAAATGTTATCTGTGCTGTTTTCAGCTTTCTAAAATTCCTGATACAGGTTTTTATTCCTTGGTGATACTTGGAGCCTTGTGATGGACTGTGCCTCATTAGGGAGCAGGAGCAGTTTTTTCAGGAAGTAAAAGAGTGCAAATACAGGTGCTGTCATTGTTTCAGGAGTTCTGTTTTCTATCACAAAGTGTCCAAGAAGCAGATAGAAAAACATGAACCAACACTGGAGCTGCTGAAAAAAATAAAAACAAATAAACCCACAAACCTTTAAGTATCAGAAACATTGTTTTTTAAAAAGAAAAAAAAAATCCATGTGGTTTTCATTATTCCAGATTCACACTTAGGGCAATGGCACACACAGAGGAGCACACTAAAGCTTGAAATCAGGTTCTTAGGTTATCCAAAAAAACCCAGCTCTCCACGTCTCCCATGCAAGCTGGTCTAGTGGAGTGTCCCTGCCCACAGCAGGGGGTTTGGAATGAGATGATCTTTAAGGCCCCTTCCAGCACAACCCTGTGATTTTCTGGGTTAAGCCATGGTCTGGCTGCACACATCCAGTGCATGGTGCTTGTGTGCTTGGCAGATATCGGGTCCATGAACAGAGTCACAGAATCCTCAAGACAGGAAGAGACCTTCAGATCACCCAGTCCAACCATCAGCCCAGCACTGCCCCTGTAACCCCTAAACCATTAAACACATCACCCAGCACCTCTTAAACACCTCCAGGGCTGGTGACCACCTCCCTGGGCAGCCCATTCCAATGTCTCAGCACCTGAACAGTGAAAAAATTCTTACCAATATCTAATCTGAATCTCCCCTGTCTCCTCTTAAGGCCATTTCCTCTGATTGTTTCCCTGCAGGTATGGTAAAGAAGACCGACCCCCACCTCACTACACCTCCTGTCAGGTGGCTGCAGAGAGCAGTGACTGAGCCTGCTCTTCTCAAGACCAAACAAACCCATCTGCCTCAGCCACTCCTGATAAGAAATGTTCTCTAGTCCTCTCATGAGACTTGCTGCCCTTCTCTGGACACACTCCAGCACCTCAATGTCCTTTATTAAAATGAGGGACCTAGAGCTGAGCACAGCACTCAAAATGCAGCCTCACGATGCTGAGGGGTGATCACTGCCCTGGTCCTGTTGGTCAAACTATTGCTGGCACAGGCCAAGTGCCATTGGCCTTCTGGGCCACCTGGGCACACACTGGCTCCTCTTGAGGCAACTGTGGACCAGCACTCTCAGTCCATTTTCCAAAAAGCTCTGATGCCACTCCTTTCTTAAGAGCATTGTGTGGCTTTTCTTGTGATGGAGCCACAAAACAAGAGTGCAGCAGCTAAACTGGGGCTGTTGTCCAAGACTGGTCTTCGTCTCTACTTCATATCTTGGCCCTCTCTTGCAAGGTGTCCCCTCCCAGAGCCACGAAGGGCTTTGGGTGCTCTGTCCCTGGCCTCTCGTGTTGCAGTGATCACCACACAGGCAGGAGCAGAACTGATTCTCACACTGCAGGAGTGAGGTTTTGTGAGTATCCACTCCTCATAAAACAGACATTTATTGTAGCAAAAGACTGTCATGAGAGCTTCTGGGTCTTGTGGTTTAGAGACTCACCAAGGAGACTCCAGGGTGAGGAGGTTTCAGCCTGGATCTCTTCATGACACGTAAATAAACCACCAAAGTGGTGGCTCATTGGCACAGACCATGCTCAGCATTTCCTCGTGCTGCTGCTTGATCTTAATTAATTCAGTATCTTTTAAAGACAAGAAATATGCAATTGTCTGTGGGTCCAGTGGTTGGCACAGAGGGCATCTCTGCCAAGCAGCTCACCTGCTCCAACCTGTGTTCCCAGGAAAAAAAGGCTGTTTTGATGAAAACAGGTTTTGTTGCACTGATTATTCTCAGCCCTTGGCAAACTTACTGTAAACACTGATTAAACACATTAGATGCACAAATTGATAAATTGCACCTTCCCATTCAGTCTTGAATCCATCACCAAAACACTACATCTACTTTTACATCAGTCCTTTTAAAAGAGAAGAAAGGAAGCAAACATCTTGTATTCTCTCAGCTTTTGGAAGCTGAAAGCAGGGCTTTTTTCTCTCTCAGATGCAAACCTTCTTCCACAGATGCAGTCACAACCCGTGTTTCATCAGTCCCTTGGTGAACCACCTCTGCAAAAAAAAAAAAAAATTACTCCAGAAACTCATGGCTTAGTGTGCTCCTTAGACTGCATCATGGCATAATATGATAAGAGTCATCAGAAGGGAACTTATTTCTAAATATTATTATAATTACAGTAGCAGCATTAAAATATTGCTTTGGTATTTACACCTTGCTGATACTAAATTCTACTGAAATCTAACCAGGCACCTAAAATTAGAAGAGGCATCTAGTGAACTAAAATTGAATCTGTCTTTATCAGCAGTGATAAAATCAACATGATTTTCCTGTTAGCACCAAACAATTTCCCCTTTTATTTTTAGTGTGTTGGGTTTACCATACTGTATATTATGGCCATCTGATCTCAGTGATTAAAGATTACCGTCTTTAAAAAAACCAACTACCTGGCTTTGATGCAAACCTTCCTGGGGCATTTTCTTCTCTCTTGATGCATTCAGGAGGGTATGCACACATCCAGGCTGTGATACAGGTGTGTGTCTGTCTGTCCTTAGCACTGGAGGATGTGACTGTGAGCCAAAGTGTTAGAAAAGCTAATGCTGCTTTTTCACATCTCCCTCAGCTTGGGAGCCCAGAGATCCTGTCTCTGCCATGCTCTGATTGCAATCCATATGAATGAAGTTTTTAATCCAGGCCTGCTCCCACGGGGCAGGAATTTGGTCTTGTGAGGCTGTAATTTCAGCTGCAGAGCACAGGTCAGTGTGGGACCATGGGAATAAACATCCCCTCCATCCTTAGCAGGCATTTTTTCTTTACAGAATAGAAACCAAGTAACTGAACAGAGTAAGCCTCTTTTTGCTTTTCCAGTCAGTTTTTGAATGGTTTAAGGGAAGATTTGGGTTAACAATATTTTCAGCATTTCCTGCTAGTGACCTCACAAGTATCATTAATTCATTTCAGGTGGCAGACGCTCCTTGAAGAAAAAAAATTCTTCACATCTAACTGGAATTTCCCTGTTGCAGTTGTGTTCCTTGCCTCTTGTCCTGTCCCTGTGCACCTCCAGGAAGTGTCTTGTTCCATCTTCTCTCCACAGCCCACTCAGAACTGAGAACAGCAAAAAGATCTCCCCCAAGCCTTCTCCTCTTTCCTCATGGGCTCCAGCCCCCTTCCCCTTCCCCATCCCAGAAGCCTCTCCTGGCCCTGCTCCAGGATACCAGTCTGCCACCACCTTCTCCCCTGGTATTCACCCAAATAGCAATAAATGTACAGGACACGTGAAACACAGACCAGATTTGTGTCAGGAAGGCACCCAGCTCCCGCTTCATTCTTGGCTTACATTTGATGCCAGCAGGAAATCTAGCAGGAGGGGGCAGTCGATCAGATCCCTATTATTTATTACCTGTAACTGGAGATGGGCAGGAAGAGACATCCAGCCCATTCAAGGAGGAGTTAATCTCTGCATTCACAAAGCATTCAATGGCATCTTTGTCACAGGTGCAGAGGAACTGTTCACAGGGATCCACAGACTCTGGAAATAAAACAAAAATCCAGACAAGGCGCTATTGAAAAACCTTTTCCACCTTCTGCTTTTTCCTCCCTTTAAGGTTTGTGTCTGTATTTCCCATACAAAACATGGTTAAGTTTCATAGTCCAGCTCTTGTTTTAAACACCAGTTGGTGCAGCCTGGCATGGCTGTCAATAAGTTATTGCCTCATTTCTTGTGTCTGCAGAGTATTGAGGACTACAGAGCAATGCTCTAGTTTGTCCATGGAAAACTTAATCCAGCTGATACTGATTTAACTTTTCACAGACTTCATTAAATATTCCTCCTAACTCTAAGAAGTCACAGTCCACAATCGAAGCCTTTCATGTGAGGTGTGATTTGCTCCTTTTAAAGAATCAGAGAACCCTAGAACAGCTTGGATTCAAAGGTGTGTTAAACCTCATGTCATTCCACCCCCTGCCATGGGCAGGGACACCTTCCACTAGAACAGGTTGATCAAAGGCCCATCCAGCTGGCCTTGAACACTTCCAGGGACAAGACATCTACAAGTTCTCTGGGAAACCTGTGCCAGTGCTTCACCACCCTCAAAGTTAAAAATTTCTTCCTAACATAAAGGATATGAAACAGTTTCCCAGGAAATACTATTTTCCCTCTTCTTAATTTCTTCTTTCAATACTATATTTCCCTCTTAAACTTGTCAGAGTTTAAAAACATTGACTTTTCATAGCTGTCACACTTCTATTTTGTATTTGTGATGGAGACAATACAAAAAGAGCTTAAAAAACATTGTTAATGTTTAAATGCACTTGGACTATTGGAGATTGGCCTAAATATCAAAAATGGTTTTAATTTGAAACAAGAAATGGAACTTGGGTCAGATTGTTGCATAAATAGGATGTAAGGGTATTAGTCTGGGAATTATGCTCTTCTTTGCTGGTATCCTCAAACCATGTTCTTTACATACAGTCTTTTCTGAGAGCCAATACTTGATGAAAAATTATATTACATGTTATTAGGCATTAAAGAACCCCACTGCATTCCTGTCAGGTCTGTACCAGCATTGCACAGGATAGTTCCTGTTACAACACACGTTCTCTGCCTCAGCTGTAGCTGAGGAGTGTGTGTGACCCTCTGAACAAAGAATCTGATCCCTCAAAGTGCAGAAAAATCAGGCCTTGATGCCTCAGAAGGAGATTGTTTTTCAGGTCTCTCCTCAGCATCTGCTGAATTTCTGATGTGTGGAGACATCTCAAGCAATGTTCAGTGGTCCTGCAAAGTAAGGGAAACCCCAGGAAGAGGCTGCCTGTTGGAGGAACCCTGGGAAGTGAAGGTGGTTTCTGATTAATTTGCCTATGACTTTTGGTAGGTAGACCAAAATGAACTTCTGGTTGCAGTGAGGCTCCAGTTTTAAGCTTTTTTGACAGGTCAATCTCACCACAGGTCAGGTTTTTAGTGGAGCAGCTGAAATCTGCAGAAATCTTGGATGGGTCCCATGTGCACTCCATCTCCAGCGCTTCCTCGTAGCATTTGCGGTGCTGAAAACAGCATCTTTAAAAGGAAGGAACAGAGAGGTCAAACCATTTAATTTCAGTTCATGGTCAGACTGCAGTGATGACATGTGGCTCTTCTGCAGAACCACAAGAGATGCCAAAGGAGAAAAGGGGGTCCATGTGTGATCCCCAGACAAAAGAAAGGCCGAGTGCTGCCTTTCCCAGGGTCAGAGTGCTGGGATAACCATGGGTGCATGCAAAGCTGAGTGCTGGGACCAGGTCTGCCTGCTGTGGGTGACCAAACATTTGTGTCCTGCTGTGGTACCCCTGAAAGGACTTTACAAGCATTTTAAATAAAAAATCCACTACCAGTGCACAAATACTTCCCCTCAGCACTGTCAGCTCACTGACAAGCAAAGCCCCACAAGTCAGCTCCAGACACCTTGGATCTAGTCCTGTCCCAGCCTTTCTCACTGCAGATTTGGAGAACTACACTCACTGGACCTGGCACTCATGGAGGGTTAATGGCTCTGCAGTGTGAATTCCTGGGTCTGTGGGGACTGTATAAATGCATACAGTTTTCTCATCTATTTCTTGTACTTGTATGTACAATTATTACTTATTACTTATTACTTGTATGTAACAATCACAATTGAAATGCACCATTTAGCCATGGGAAAGGGCCATGAAAGATTTTTCTCTTACTAGAATAAACCAGTTTTCTCCTGACACTATACAACACAAACAGTCAGAAACCTAGTGTTTTCCTGCACCCCTGCTGTCCTGCCAATCTCAAATTGCTTACAGGGCCACTTGAGTTTTGAACAGAAATAAAAAGTCAATTAAACCAACAAGCTCTTCTTCATTCCTCTCCTCTCTTCAGCTCTTTGTACACATAAATCATCTACACAACATCTCTGTGCACTGACATCAGCTTTAAATGAAACACCAGTAAAAGAGTCATCATTTACCCAGGTAAAATTGTTACATATATTAAAGGGTATTGCTGTTAGATTCAGATTGAAATACCCTCATTTCAAAGAAATGGACTCAAAACACTTACGGAGTTGTAATTAGCCTGGGCAATGCTGAAGGCAAGGACAACATGAACATCCAAACCCAGTATCTGCTGCCAGGAAGGCTGGCAGCTGCTCCTTGTCAGGCTCCAGTCTAGAGGGCCCATCTAGGCTACACATGCACTTTTTCATCTCCTATATTTAGAAATAATTTCTCATTGAATCACTGACTGTATTAATAAATAATGATCACAATATTTCATTTTTCTTCACTACCAGAGAAGGAGTGCAAGGAATGTATCTAAAAAATTTGAGGGCAAATAGCATTCAGCAGAAAGGCCTGATGGCTCCTCTGCACCACAAATTCTACAGTGCCTTGTTCCACAGATGAGGCAGAAATCTGTGGGCTCCATCAGGAACAGGGTTTCCAACACATAACTGGTGATGTCTCAACACTCTCCTGACTCTACCTCAGGTCTAGTGAGATGTTGGCATCTAAAAGCTCCTCTAACTGCATAAGAAATCTAACAAAAAAAACCTCTCTGGTTTGTTTAGAGATTCATAATTGCATCAACATTTGCTGCAACAGTTAATCCAAAAATTTGCTTACTTTTCCTTTGCAAGCAGGATATTGTAAGATATGATTTGTCTTCTGAGCCTGCCTCTCTTTCACAAGGTCTGTGGAGATAAACTTGGCTCCTGATTTAGATATGACAATGAGCTACTCTGGAAAATGGGAAAAGGTTGGTCTTTAAGGCATTAGTACTTTCCAATGCCTTAAAAACCTGCTGTGAGGCATTGAGCCCTTTTCTGTGGAACAGAAATAGCACAAACAAGCCCCAAGGTTTGCAAAAGTAGTTTCTAAGAAATAAAATCCGTGAAAAAAATTGCAACACTGTGGGAACTGTCTCTGTGAAAGACACACAAGCCACTGGTTTGGAGGCTCCCTTGAACCAAAAGCACATCTCTGTATCTCTGTTTGCTGCACACGGCAGTAGGAATTCTGTGCTGATAAGGAAACCTCACCCCAGGGCTGCAAAACAATTTGTAAATACAAACTGGCTGTGTGGGTGATTCTCAGGACAAACCTGCTGATGGATGTTTCTGCAGTTTCTGGGTTTGTGCTGCTCTGCATTAAAATGAAGCTGAGTGAAGCAAAAGCCCAGGTGCTCAGCTCTTGGGTATCAATCCATTAAACTGACTCGAGCTCCCATTTCAGGATGTCATCACAATTGTTCAGAAAACCTTTCACAGAGAAACTCCATGGCTTTTTTCCAGTAGCAGGGTCAGATCTCCATTTTCCCAGCCATCCCACGCTGCAGAGTGGATGGATTAATTTCCACCTCTCTATAGGCTTAGCCCTTTCTGAGTCGTTGCTGTCTTCACTCAGGGAATTAATACATTACATTGTTGGAAAACCCATTTTCTTCACAGACATGGATATATCTTGATTCTCTTTGAATTTCCTTTCACATCTCCTGCTGATATAATTGAACAAGTATTTGATTGTCCTGGTCTGAGATTACATTTTCTCTCACTAGAGCCAGATGATATGGGTCTTAGCCCTAAATAAATCTATCTTTTTATTACTGTTTTTAAATTATTTATGCAGGAGTTATGCTTTGGATAATCAGAGCATGAGGGTATTTATTGGCAGTCAGGGCAGAAAAGGACCTCTCATGGGTATGACTTACTCATCAGCTTCATCCATGGGGAGCCCTTCCATCTCAAACCGGCAAGAGCAACCGTAGTCTTCAAAATCCCTGGGACAAAACCCAGTAACACACTTCATTTTGTTCACAAAGTTGAGAAGGGCAGGAAAGTTAGTGAAGATGGACTGTAACCAGGTGAAGTGAGAACCCAGGCAGTCTGGAAAGAGAACAGCCATAGAACACCTGGTAAGTGGAGGTGAGGCAGGGTTACACACGGGTGACGTTTGCAGGGCAGTGACACTGGGCAGTGCTCGACACTCAGCAGTGTTGTGATACTGTGGTCTTTGGGGAGATCTGCACCTGCAAAAATCCCCATTTCATCTTAGTAAATATAAAGAACCCCACAGGATTTCTATTCAGTGATCAAGTACAACTGGAACAGGTACGTACCAAAAAATAATGCAACGCTTTCCACATTTTGAAAGACTCCATTGAAGAGTGTGGCATTGTCTAAATGAAAAAATAAACAAACAAACCATGCTTACTTAAAAATAAAAAAAAAACCCACAATAACTGTCCCCAGACTTCCCCTGGTCTCACTTCAGTTGTTAAACCATTTTGAGATGAGGTCCTAGCTATTTGCTCACAATTCCCTGTGATGCTTCTGGAGTACAAGGATTCCCAGTGCCATGCAACATTGCAGAAAGTAAAGCTTAAACCTTTCTTACTCAAGATTCTTTCAGGTGTGTTAAGCAGATCTGGCAGGAATGCTGGAGGCTCCAGTTCTTGGCCACCTACCTCAGCAAATAAATTTGAAAAGAAAAAGATTTAAAAGTAAAAAAAAAAAACCAAACAAAAAATACCCAACAAAATCCAAATTCCCAAAAGATCACAATAAAACAGCAGCATGTATTTCATTATGACACCTTGCAGGCATTTTGAATACCTTCCTACACCAGTAAAGTGATTTATCAAAGACATGAAGTACTTGCTCAGCTCCACACCCACCCTGGGGAGCCCAGAATTGTGCTGGTGTGGACTGGTAATTCCATCCACTTCAGCTCAAAGCCCAGGCACTGTCAAACAGGTATTGCTGCTGAGGATGAGCTAACCCTTGTCTTCCTGTTCTCATCTGAGCAGTAGCCCTTACTGGGACAATCAGAAGAATTATATAATATAGGTTTGGGCCCACCTATGTCCCAAATACTCTGTAACCCTGTGCTATAATGTGAAGCAGGGTTATTTGAAGTGATTTGTTTTTCCTGGTCCATCTTGGCTATTGCCTTTTTGCCTCATTGTCTCCCTATAACTTTATACTTTAAGTTAATTATCTCTTCTTTGTTTTGAAGATGATGTGGTAGATTTGGAATATTTTCAACACTTTCATTTTTTTCTGTTGGCCAAGTCCCAACTTAGAGTAAAATCTAATATTTGTTCTCTCTTCCCACTTTTTAACCTGTTCTTTCCATCTGCATGATTTCAGAAGACAGTGTATTTCTTCAGATTTATTTAACCTTAGCTTTTTTAAAAAACCTGGTAAGTAAAGGGTATTTACTGTCTCAAGAAACTTGGATATTTAAAACTGAAAAAGCCCACAATATTAAATTCATGGCATAATTTATGTTTCAGAATAATTGGTATTAGGAAAGCTGTCCTTTTTCTCCATAAAAATTCTGGGAAAGGGTTGACAGTCATCTTGCTCATCTGCTACATTTTCCTGCAATAAATATAGATGTAAAAGAGTAAAGCAGAGTAGTGGGGTTTTTAGATAGGAGGCTTAACTATATGTTAAGGAAAGGATTAGGAAAAAATAAGAAATTTTTAATTTTGTTTTTAATTTTTTTAAGATCATATATAAGTGCTTTCTCAGATGTCCACACCTTTTGTGATATGAACAAGATTTTAATGGTAACAGATATATGCTCCCAGCAATTATTTTCTCAAGTTCAGTTGCAGAATATGGATACAGGATTGAGTGAGTCAGGAAGAGGTACTTCCTCTTGTGTTTTTCTTTTTCCTGAAATTCTTGCTTTTAGATAAACAGTAATCCATCCAAAGCATCCTTTTCTGCAGCTGGACTAAGGGGAGAAAATTGCTTTCCACAAACCAGAAAAAGTCTCCCAATAAAGGCTGGTCTTTTTACAGAACTGGAATAAGTCTGTTGAAAGCTTCATAGCCATGAGGAATTCAGCTTCAGGCAAAATAATGGCCTGCCTTGCAAAAAAACCAGCATTGAATGCTATATTTGTACACATGTTTGTTAAGGAAAAAGTAACCCTTATTTTCTGGCTTAAAGCCTGCATTTCTTCTGCAATGACAAACATCACCAGGTTGTGTCAAGTGCCACTGGAGCAAGGTTTGACACACTGCATAACACCACAGCTCAAACTAAGTGTTGATGAACAGCCATTAATCATTTGGTCCTTACAGCAAAATGTTTGGAAAACATGGAAATCCCACAGAGTTGAAATGCATCGGAGGAGAAAATTGTCAAAAAGCATATTCCAGGGGCACTGAAAACAGTGATTCCTCCACTATCCTTCACCTGCAGTTAGTTCTGAGCAGACTGAGCTGTGTACACCCAATTAACACATAAATGTTTGAAGTTCCCCTGGAGAGGAATGTCTGCTCAGCAGTTTGGTAAATCATTGGCTCTTCTAATCCTCTCATTACAAAGTAAGCTCATTACAAAGAGAGCAAGTCGACATCAATGAACCAATGTTTGCTAACAAGATTGCTTACTTTTTTAAATTGGGGGAGGGAGGAACAAGGAGAAAATACTTTCTGTAGTAATTCTCTTTTTCTCTTTTGGTATCATGTGTTTGGAACTATTGGCCCTATGTCATTCCTTGTAGAGGCAGTGAAAGATTTCACTACAAAAAATCAATCCTTTAAATCTCAGAAGACCCTGGGGTTTCCAACTTGTCTCACCTCTGTCTAAAACCTGTTAAGATTCAGAAAGTTTTGAGGAGACTTGTATGATACATCAGCTCTTGGGCTTTATCCATGGAATTTGTTTTAATGTTCAGTTATATATAAATTTTTTTCTGGACTGTATCTGTGATTTTCCTACATAACAACACTTTTCTGAAACGTTGCCTAAAAAAAGCCCATCTGAAAACATCATTGCACCTCCAGTTGTCTTTTTCAGCCATAGCTCACTAAAATGTCCTAATATATGGCATTATAACCCTGGGAAGTAAAAATCTCAACTATGCCAGAAAAAGTCAGGGTGGAGCAAACTCAAATGATTTGATTTATTCAAGGAAAATTACATTAATTCTTCTCAAAGATGCTATTTCATGCACAGATATTTGCTTCAGTCTCAAAGCAGAAATCAGCAGAATAAATCCCACAGAAATATAAATCAATGATCCTCCCCAAACCTAAATGTAGTAACTCTTTAAGTCTTCATGTTCTGATTATATTTAGCTAGGGGGAAAGAATACAAACAATGTCGCACAGCCTTTTAACATTTGAGGGAAATTTTCTTCAAATATTTTGTCAGAAAAATGTATGAATGTCCAGATATTTTTGAGTGGACCATCAATATAATTATTATTTTTTAAAATAAATAAATAGCACAGGTATTTTGGCATTTGCTGCTGCTGCAGTGGGAAATGTGAATATTTTCTCTGATTTCTTGCTATATAGTAGTAGTCTTAAGGTTCAGCTGCATCATTTTAATGTGTTTCATGTTAGACCTGTTTCTTTTCTGAACTGCAATGCAATTCCCTTCTCAGAAGAAAAACAACTGGTGAAGTTGATGAAGGTCAGTGCAGAATTTTTTTATGCTGGGGCCCTGTTTTTTCTTTTCCTTTTAGAAATATCCCCATGGATTGACCAGAAATGGTGATAGACCTTCTAAGAGTCCTTCTCTTCCCTTGCACTTACTGGCATTTCTACACAGTGCAGAAATTTGAGATGTTTGCCCAACCCTCACTCTGGGAAGTTCATTCACTCATGACAACAAAATCTAAAGACTATGAAGAATAAGTTATGAGTATATGAAGAAAAAAACCCTATTCATACTAAAATTCAAAAGAGGAGCTTTAGCTGGACATGAGTTACATTTCAGGATGCACTGAATGGCTTGGAGAATTAAGACTATACAAATGAATTTAATGAGTAGAATCTCTTTATATGAAACTTATAAATTTGGAGTTTTAATTACTTAAATAATGAAAAATTCTAGCAAAAAGAAGTTGCAATATTTTTATTTGTACTTTTAACCCCAGAACATGTTTTGTTGCTTCGCTACAAGTCCTGAGAGAAATATTTTATAAGTACTTTATACAGAAAGATCTTCAGGTGCATTTGGGGGTTGAGCATCAAAATTTGAGGAGAGAGAAGGTGTGTTTCTAAGGGATTGTTTCCAAATGCTCATACTTAAAATAGTATTTGGACATAATGTCAAATAATCATAAAAATATATTTCCACTTACCACTGTATACCACCATGGACATAGACACCAGCAGAATTACAATCATTTTTTGTTTAATCCAAAAACAAGGGAAAAGTCACACAGCAGACTGGTGTGCCTGGTGAGTTAAGTAAAATATCAGACAGAATGTTATCTCTTCAGTCTGGGAGTGGGAAGACACCATCTTGGGAAATCATTCTTTTGTAGCCTGGATATATTTCTACTTGATAAAATTCAGTTTTTACCCTTATCATAGTAAATGCACATATCACAGGAATGTATAGCCTTATATATCCTTATTTTACCGATGTTCTCTAAAAGTCTGACTGACAGTCTTTATTTTGGTATTGCTTTGAATCAACAGACTCTGTGAAACTGCCATGCACACAATAAAATCATGCACTTGCAGTTTCTTTTGTTTTTTTGCAACTTGCAGTTGCTTTTGTTTTCCAAGCAGTTTTCACATCTTCTTTCATCTCACAAAATGTTCAAACAATTCTTATGCTTAAATGAAGATATTGTGAAACACTGTGTAAATGAAGATTTATTCTGATATTACATCTATGGATTCCAGTTTATCTGCAATCTATTGTATTTGTTTCTTATCACAAGAATTTGTAGTTAAACATTTATTTTAATCTGTGTTAAGACTGATCTAATATATCATAAATTTTCCTAATAAGAAATATGATGTTATTTGGAGACCTGTAGGAAATGTGTGTAAAAATTCTTCTAAATGTGTTGCGCTAGTATTCATTAAATGGAAGATGATAGATTGCTTTTTAACTATGGTCACAAATTACTTTAAATTTAGAACAGTTTTCCAAGTCAGGCATTGAGCTTTTTACAGCCAAATAAATGAACATATATATATCAGTTTTCAAATATGTATCAACTGATTATTATCTGATTTTCTGAACTCAAATATGGAATTAATTTCTATTAAAAAATCTTGTAATATGTCATCAGGAAGTGAGATTATAAATCTAACATCCCTAAACATTTATAGTCTATTTTCCCAAACCTCTTGCCTATATTTTTATCTATTACTCCTCAGTCACAAATAGCTTATTCTACATTGTTTCCTCCTGCTTCCCTTATTATAAAGAATATCCAGAAAGACTTACCTTGAGGGATATTATCCCAAAGCAGCTGGATGGAAGACAAATGAACATCAGCAAAGGCAGTACTAAGTTATTTATACCCACTTGGATATAGACCTCACCCATGTGATCACTTCCTTTATCAAACCCCCTTCAACATTTATTAATTAATTCTTCCATGAGATTCCTTAGAGCCATTATCCCACAGTGTATCTGGCAATATGGCTCCAGCCATGTAAAGGATCTATACCGAGAACTCTGCTCTGCAGGTGCCTTCACCATATAATAACTTTCCCTAATACTCCTGGCTGTAATTAAATAACAGTCATCCCATTGTTATTAATCACTCACAAAATCTCTTGGGCATGTGAAAATGGCTTTAATAGCTTAGCAAGAGGTAGTGTTCGGTGATGAAAGATGAGTGAGAGTTTACACAGCTTTAAACACTGGCATTCCTCAGGGTTGGGAAGTCTTCTTTAATCTATCCACGGTGGCTCTGATCCAAGGCTGAGTGAAATCCAGGAGAAGTTGATTCAGTGAGCTTTGGGAAGGCTGCTTTTCATCAGCAAGGTGTGCTTTCTGCCAGGGCCAGGCACAGCTACCCTTCATGGAGTCCATCAACAGAGACAAACTGTCCACTGAATTGTAGCATGGAGAAGTGACAAGTCTGACAACTGGGAATTGTAAAAATATTTACATGAGCAAAAGGCCCTTTGTGACCTACAAGGCTTTCAGGGAGGCCTCTGACATGGTCACCCTTAAGATCCTCATGGAGAAGTTGTTGATATCTGAGCTGGATTTGCCTGGGGAGAGGGGTTGGAAATGGACTGGCCCCAAGAGTGTTGGCCAGTGGCACAAAGTCTATTTGGAGGCCAGTGACTGGTGGTGCATTCCAGCAGTCAGTGCTGGGTCCAGCCCTGCTTAGACTCTCCATTAATGATCTGGATGATGGGGCAGAATGGACCTTCAGAGGGCTGGCAGGTGACACTGAACTGGGATGAGTGAGTGGCATTTCTGCCATCCAGAAGGACCTCAACAGGAACTCCATGAAGTTCAACAAGTGCCAAGTCCTGCACCTGGAGAGGTGCAGCCTCATACACCAGTTTGTGCTGGGGAACACCCAGCTGGGAAGCAGCTCAGTAGAGGAGGACCTGGGGTCCTGCTGGACACAGGCTTGAACAGAGTAAGAGGTGTGCTCTTGCAGCAGAGAGGGCTCAGGATGTCCTCAGCTGCACTGGGAAAGCGCTGCCTGCAGACTGAAGGAAGGGGTCCTGCCCCCCACTCTGCACTGGTGAGGCCACACCTGCAGGGCTGTGTCCAGTTCTGCGCTCCTCAGAACAGGACAGACATGGAAAAGCTTGAGACAGTTCAGGGAAGGGACACAGAGATGATGAAGGGATGAGAACATTTCTCATGCGGAGGGGACAGGAGATCTGTGACTCTTCATTGGAGGAGTCTTGGGGGGTCTCATCAATCCAGGGAACACCTAAGGGGAGGGTGCCAGGGGACAGAGCCAGTCTCTGTCCAGCAGTACCCAGTGACATGGCAAGAGGCAATGGGCACAGACTGAGAGCTGCTGCAACAGACCAAGATCTTCCATGGCATAGCAGAACCATGGCCATGTTACAGGCACTTCCTGAACTTCATGAAGTTTCTGGTGGCCCATTTCTTCAGCCTATTGATAGCAGCATGTCTTATTCCCAGCATATACTCCCTGTAGGAGTCAACATTCCTATTTATTCCATTGGCCTAACTTTCAATATCTGCTGTAACTGGTACTTCTCCAATCTATCCTGCTCTTTGACATGGCAGAAGTTCTTCTCTCACACTATAGAGCACAACAGTGAAATATAATTTAGAAGTGAGTTACTGCATCCCACCTCTCCCTGGGGTCAGCATTGCTCATATTGCCACTTTTCTCCTTGGCTCTGCCTTTGGACACCTCTTTCTTCAGTGAAATGTCAATGTGTAACAGCTATGGTGCAAATGAACTTCTTTAAAAACAATATTAATGGCTTGAGGACGTACTCTGGGTAAACAGTAGCATAATGTTGCTGCAGCATAGAAAAATATGGGATCATGCAATTGATTTGGTTATTCTTTCATTTTTTTAGAACTGGATTTTAGTTCACCAGACTTGCATATAAAGGACATGATGGCCAGGCTGGAAGAGGCTCTGAGCAATCTGATCCAGTGGGGCTGGAAACAGATCATCTTTAACACCCCTTCCACCCCAAACCATTCTATAATTCCATGTTTCTACAAATCCTGGTGAGTTCACACAAATATAACTCAAAGTACAAGAGATCCTGTCTCTTCCTGGGTTGACACTGCATAACAGGCATTGCTAAAGTAATGGAAGATTTTGTTTAGAAGATAATCTGCATGTGTTTAACACCAGAGAGTCCTTCTTGTCTTCAGTATTTCAAGTTGCTTTTAAATTACTTCTCATTTGTTAATTTTGATTACAATGTCTCAAATGTCAATAAAATAAACTGTTTCCATTCACTAGCCAACTATGTAAATATCCTTTATAAAACAAGATTTTTAAAAGCCTTTAAGTTCTTTTATTGTGGTTACATCACTTGTATAAAATATCTCTGTTTTTTACACATTATTTTTACAATGCCTTGGAGGAGGAGACATTTCTAGGTTAACATCTGGTTAATAGCTTGCCTGATTTCAAATATTTGCAAATAAGATGTTGCTTTCTGATTTTTACACTGAGAAATCAAAAAGAAAACTAAAACTGCCACCAGTCTTCGAACTTGCAGTAAAATTTCCCAGTGCTCTAAACTGATGTACAGATGTTTTTAAGGCATTTTTGCTTTAATGCTGGAAGAACACAAGAAAATATTAGTTAGAAGAGATTTTAGAAGGAAATATTAAAACATGCATGAAGGCAAAATAATACTTTTTTTTAAAATCCTTTAAAAATCATTATCAGATAAAATAGTTATCTGATGAAAAACAGCAATTATTCTGTGGATATAGAAAAATCTTCTATCTTCATAAAAAGGTATGTAGAGCTATAGAGATGTCAAGTGAAAATGTACTTACTGTGGGAGTAGGCAACTCTTTTGACTCTTTCACAGACATAACTTGCGTTTTTCACAAACCAGGAATAGTATTCAACACAGTACCTGATGATGGAGTTGCAGATAGGAGATGCAGTTAAAGATAAGAGGCTTGTTACCTTTCATAAGGAGAGGGACTTTGGACAAGGGCATGTAGTGATAAGGAGGAATGGCTTCAGGCTGAAAGATGGCAGGTTTAGATTAAATATTAGACAAAAATTCTTTACTGTGAGGGTGGTGAGGCAGTGGCACAGGTTGCCCAGAGAAGCTGTGGATGCCCCATCCCTGGAAGTGTTCAAGGTCAGGCTGGATGGGGCTTGGAGCAGCCTGATCCAGTGGAAGGTGTCCCTGCCCATGGCAGCACAGTAGGAACTAAATGGTCTTTAAATCCCTTCCAACTCAAACCAATCTATGATTCCATTATAAGCATGGTATATCTAAATAATATTAAATATAGAAATAAAAAGCTAGATTCCAACCTCAGTGATGTCATTAGATGCTTGGAAAAATGCATCTGGGCTTTTTTCACTTAGCTGAAATACTGAAGCCAGAACAGGTGCACTGGGACACATTTGGGTCTTAGTCTGTGGCCACAGACCCTCCAAAATAATCATTGGTGATTGAAAATTGTCATTTGGGGAAAAAAAAGCCTGAAGGATTATTTTAAGCAGACAGAGAAAGAAAAACTCGTGCCAGGTTTTACCTCATGGCTTCCTTTCTGGAATGTCTTCTCTGACCAACACAGAGGCACAGCTGAAAGAACCTACAGAGCTCCATCACGCAGGGCTTGATCTTCTGCACTACGAGAGTGACGGGAGGTGAGGTCACATGGGGCTCTCTGAGCATCGCCTGCGGGCACCCTGGGGGAACACACAACCCTGAAATACCCCAAATACCTGTCCCACTGAATATCTTACTGTACAAAGCAATGGGGG